TAGAATTGTATCATGTAGTTTCTAATCTCTTAGGGATTTTTCAGAGATTTGTTACTGATTTTTAACTGAATTCTGTTTGGTCAGAGAACACATGTGAATTCTTATACATTTATTGAGATTTGGTAAATACCCTGTTTGTACTTAACAGAATTAGTCTTCTGATCTTGTTGAGTTCGTCCTATAATATCAGATGTATCAAATTGATATTTATGCTTAAGTCTTCAATATCCTTGCTAATCTTCTATTTTTTCTATTAGTTATTGAGAAATAGGCATTGAAACTTCAAGCTATAAATACAAATTTATCTATTTCTATTTCTCTTTGCAGTTATCTTAGTTTTTTCCTTTAAATAATTTAAAGCACTGTTATTGGGTACTAAAGTGTTTAAAGTTGTTACATCCTTTTTTTAATCCTATTATTATGAAAAAATAACAGCAAAGTAATACTAACGACAACAGAAGGGAAAAAATGGAGAATAGCTTTATGTATCTCCTTTTTGACCATAGAGTGCCATCCTCTTCCTCACCAGGTAGATGATTTACCTGAAATGTTGCTCAATTTGATTTATTCTCCCTCCTCCCTGATTTGGTTATGGGTGAATCAGTGTAAAGAAATGATCTGCCTAGTAGTTTTCTAGAACTGTGTTAGTTGAATCCCTAGAGCTACATAAAAGAAAAGTACCTGCTGGTAGCCTCAGCCCTCCTGCTGTTCAGCAGGCCTCTTGTCTGTCACAGCCTATCTGTTGAAACACCCATTGACAAAGAGGAAAGAGGTTTTGTGTGGACTCTTCAGGTACTTCCTTGGAGGGAAATGGGGAATGTTAACATTTGTGGTATCTCACCTGCTCTTCTGGCAGTAGTTTGGTGGAAATTTGGGCTTTGTAATTTGATGTCCTTTTAATGCTTGCCACTTGATGTTCTCACTCCTTCCTAGGAGCCAGCACCACTCTTTGACCTTGCCATGCTTGCCTTAGACAGTCCTGAGAGTGGCTGGACGGAGGAAGATGGCCCCAAAGAAGGACTTGCAGAATATATTGTTGAGTTTCTGAAGAAGAAGGCTGAGATGCTTGCAGACTATTTCTCTCTGGAAATTGATATGGTATGATGGCCATTCGTTGTATACAGCCCCTGCCATATTCTTCAGATTCCTAGATCAAGATGAGAAGTCTGGCCTCCCCCTCAGAAGCAGCATGTGACAGAAATGAAATCTTCTCTGTTCCCTGTTTGCATTTCTTGCATATACAACTGTTTATGCCATTCCTGTTCTCATGGTAAAGGATCCAGACAGAAGGAAGAGCTGAATTCCACGTTCTGCAGGCTTCAATACATGAGATTATGCCACTTGCTTCTGTTTCTTTCTCTTACCTCTTAATCTTAGGGAGTTTCTGTCTCGATGTGTTAATTAGTGAGCAGAGCCAAATAAAAGGTTGTTTTGCTGTACACTGGGACCAGAAGCTTTTTAACTGTTTGGATCTTCCTCCCATGCCCAGTCCAGTCAAGTAACCAGAAACCTTTGAGGATGAGAACTGGGGAAGCACTAATGAAATTTGTTTATACTTTGTTTAAATAAATTTGTTAAATCTTGTCCCCTTTTCTGTCCTTTTTCCCACAAGCAGGAAGGGAACCTGATTGGATTACCCCTTCTAATTGACAATTATGTGCCCCCCTTGGAGGGATTGCCTATCTTCATCCTTCGATTAGCTACAGAGGTGAGTGATAAGCAGGTACTAAGCATATGGGTATGTGCATGGATTCTGGGTAAACGGGGCATGTGACTGCACCTTCGTTTGGAACTGTCAAGATGACAAGGGTAGAACAGCATGAAGATTCCATCAGCCACACCAATATTTGTCCCCAGCCATACTTATCAACTATTTCAATGCCTAAGAGTCACATTTCATTTTTTAGCTATAAGTAGTTCATTATCCCCATTTACAAATGAAATTGTTTAAAGCATGTACCTAAGTTTTTGAATTCTTTCAACCAGGTGAATTGGGATGAAGAAAAGGAATGTTTTGAAAGCTTAAGTAAAGAATGTGCTATGTTTTATTCCATCCGGAAGCAGTACATATCGGAGGAGTCAACCCTCTCAGGCCAACAGGTACTGTGGCCTAGCACACTAGCACTCCAGGACAGGGACGGGCCCTTATACAACCTTTAAGAGATGAAACTTGCCCATCTCTAAAATCTTGAGTTCTCATATATCTAACAGGGTATGTTCTCATTTATCAAACACAGTGGTCAGCTTTATTTACGTTTTTTTTTTTTTTTTTTTTCCTTCTGCTGCTCTAGAACTTAGACCTCTAGAATGATCTCAGAAACTGTCCACTGTAGAAGCACAAGCCATTACATTGAGACAGACTGTCCGAGGCTGGTGGGTCCCTGAGTCCCATTGTCAGCCCAAGTCCTCAGATTCTGGATGTCTCCCTGGTCACCCTTTATTTCTGCCATGTCTGCTGCTGCACAGCCAGGAAATAAGACTCTGGAATTTCACTTATAGGTCAATTTGACACAAATAACAACCAGTCAGATAATAATCCCTTTCAATCAGCAAGTATTTCAGGGGTAGTAGGGGTCAGAGGAGTGGAAGTAGTACACAAATTAAAGGATAGCCATTTTACTGCATAGCCATCTTAGTGATTGTTCATGGTCACCCTGAGATGAAGTGGTCTGCGTGCTTCACAGGTCAGAAAGCTGCAGGACAGTTGGCATACTCATGGATCCCCAGTGCCTTATAGGTGTAGGAGATTCATTCCCGGGTCTTTCTGGCTAAAGCCGTGGGAATTTCTCTCTCTGGTGGAAAAGGCAAGGCAGCACACTTACCATACAGTGCTGAGAGTTATCTTATTTGATTGGGAATATGTTCCTCAAGGAAAGGAACTACAGATGATAACGAACATTTTCTCATAGGAACAATAAAGCAAAATTACCATTTTTTTTTTTCATTTCTTATCTGTGGAGGTTTTGGAAAAACAGCTACTTTCAGACCCCCAAATTTGAAGGTGAGTTAGATACTGTTGCCATCCAGACACCAGTAAGGATCAGACATTATGTTAGATCCTGCAATAATCAACACATTCCTTCCTGAGTGGACACAGAGATTCCATAGGAGATGGCCCTGCAAGAGCAATGGCTACTTTGCCCTCTCAAAGACCTCATCTTTTATGTTCAAGCCTCTGGGATTACTGAGATGCTAGGCTCCTTCATAAGCTTTAGACAACACAGTTCATCGAAAGCCACCAGGACTGTCTAGGCCCAAGTGCCCACCCCATTGCCAGGAAGGCAGTATGTATAGGAAGGCTTATGACATCTAACATGTGTTTTTCAGAGCGAGGTACCTGGCTCCACACCAAACCCCTGGAAGTGGACTGTGGAACACATTGTCTATAAAGCATTCCGCTCACACCTTCTGCCTCCTAAACATTTCACAGAAGATGGGAATGTCCTGCAGCTTGCTAACCTGCCTGATCTGTACAAAGTCTTTGAGAGGTGTTAAATATGATCATTTATGAACTCTTGAGTATTCTATTCTTCCTTTATATCCCAATGTGGTTGGTAAGACAGGATTGAAAATTTGCATTTGCCTGCAACTGTGGCACTTTTTCTTTCGTGGTGGATTGACTATAAATAAATTTTCTGATGTGTCTTAACAGTTTCTTATTTAACATCACACTTGAAAAGTTTCCTAGATCAGATTTTTCCTAGTATATACCAGGTTGTGTTGAAGAATCACCAAAGTTTGAAAGCCCCTGATATCTAATAAGGTGTTCTACAAGCACCGTGAGGAATTCTAAAATGGTCTTGAAGACTTGGCAGATTATGCTTTGATTTGATTCTTTCTGTATTTTGGCAATTTTTTATCCTCTGATACCATATATTGTCCAGCTGCCTTTTAAAATAAGTCCTGAACACCTAAGTCTCTACTGATCAACTATGGAAAAAGTTTGATTTGAGAATCTATCAATATCTTCAGTAGCCAAAGTTAATTTATTCTTAGGGTAAATGTCTTCATGTGTTCTATAACTGGTGTGAGTTTTTAACTTATCCCACCTTGTTAATGTCTATGGGCTGGGGGGCAGGAGACTCTAGGTTCGATCCCTAGTACTAAGGAAGGAAGGGAGAGAGGAAGGGAGGGAACAGAAGGAAAAAGGTGTTTCTAAATATTTGTTTTGCAGTACTGGGGATTGAACCCACAGTGCCCTACCACTGAGCTACACCCTCAGTCCTAGGTATGAAGAAATGAAAAATAAAAGTGAAGCCCATCATAAGGAGGAACTACACTAGAAGAAACTTATTCTCTAAGGAGAAACTAATTCAAAGTAAACACCAGAAATAAAGTAAAATGACAGAGAAAAGATCATTTCTTGCATGGTGGATTGACTATAAATAAATTTTCAGATGTGTCTTAACAGTATTCTTTTTGAAGGATAATGTGAGTATACACTTAAACTGTAAGTGCCAAAATAAGATACGTTAATATTAGCTTGCATTTACAGAAACTGAGCATTCAGCACAGGGAGGAAGAATGCCTATAGTTTTAAGGTAAAATTCAGATTTACAGGCTTCTGTGAAGAAAGTTCAGTGGAAAAGAACAGAGTATCTCATGAAGAAATGAAACCATTTCCATTTAGAAAAGACTGGGACAAAAGAGTGGAAGGGATATGTTTGTTGTTTCATAAAAGGGGCAAGATCAGTTTCTGACAACTAAAACTCGGAACATTGGATTGGGGCATTTCAGAAGTGAGGTTTCATGAGCCCAGAAGAGTGCCAGCTGAGTGATCTTTGGTGGAGAGGAAAGGGGCTTCCCAGGCCTTCAGAGCTAGACTGCATTTTAGAACATCCTCCTGCCCGTGTCCAACCTCAAAACCATAGAAAGATGATTTATAGGAAATTGTCTCAATCTAGGAGATTGGTTTCCATATATTAAAAATGAAGGGCTAATTACTCTAAAGAAGGGAACAATTATTAAAGATTTTATTCACTTTTGAGTTTATTATCTAGTTTTAAATCTAGTTTTATTATCTTAAGGGGCCTTGATTCATTAGATTTTCCCCAACATCTTTTTTGTGTAAACTTTGAAGCTACAGTAATCATGTCCATAAACACCACCTTGATTCCAATAGTGAAAGAAAATCACAAATCCTAAAAAGTATCTACACTCGGTTATTTAAAAAAACCAAAAAAAAAAAACCTTGAACTGGATGCCTTTAAAGATGAAATTAAAGTTTATAGAAGAAAAAGTTCTACATTCCAGATAATTTTTCCTTGAGGAGAGAAAAGAGGAGGAAGCAAGATAGGAGAGAAGTGGCTGCCGTGATTTGTTTCACAGTCTCCTATAATAAAATGAATGTGTCAACAGCCACTTGAGGTCGGCAAGAAGGGTATTTTTAATAGAATTCACAGGCAGATTTCCCACCTGCCTGCCCTGCCCTTCCCTCCACCTTTGGGCTTGTCTGAGGTTCATTCCACAAATAAGCAGCTGATGAAAATACTTTAGAAGGTACAGCATAGTTGATATGGAAGAGTAAGGACCCTGCTCTTACTCTAAGAGAATAGGCCTTGGACTTCCACTACCCCCTGCAATAAAGCAAGTTTTATATACATTCCCCGTATCTTTTTCTAACATTTTCTTATATAAATTTAAATATTTTACAAAAAAAAGGGGTTTTCCTCCAAACATATAAATTTGAGTGAAACACATTGATTCCCCATGCTTGAACTTATTTCTTCACTAAAATATAAACACTATCTCATATGACGGGTAGATGTCTTTTGACCACGGGATACCAGTGAAGTCTGAATTGCTCTGTGGAGAAGGCACTTGTGTTTTCTGAGGTCTCCAGCAAGTATCTCAGCGCAATAGAACTGCTGTCCTCCAGACCCCGTGCCAAGGCCTCCAAGTGCCCAGTCACTGAGGGAGCTGGGGGAAAATGTTGAGTAAACATGATTCTAAAATTATGGAAACAAAACATGAATAGCACAGACCAGTTCTTAGTCTAGAATCAAACTACACACAAAATCCAAAGTGTTCGTTCATGAAGATTCAAACCTGCTTCATTCACATAAATTATAAAATACAAAGGTGGATGTTTTAATGACAAAAACTCAAAACAGTACTGAAAGGGTTTGTGTCAATGTACAAAAAGAGTCAGTCCCTCTGGGCAGGGCCCCACAGAGCAGCACCCAGGTCAAAGGGCAGCTGCCCTATTGCTGGGCCAGAAGTGCTGTCCTGTTGGCCTTCATCTTCTCTAGCCGCTTGGCCAGGTGACTGTTGGTCATTTCCATCTCCTCAATCTTGTCCAGTGCTGTTCGTAACTGGAGACAGGGAGAGAGCACAGTGACTTCATGTGGCCAAAAACTCAGAAACAAAACTCAGTGCTACTTTATTTTCAATTTTCTGGGAAACAGAAGCATTGCAAGTTGTGATGGCCTCACACATGATCCCAAAACAGCCTATTTTTTTTTTTTTTTAGTCACCTAAAGGTGTTAAACAATGATTATATGTATTATTTGTTTAAATCACAGAAAGGGCCCGGTGTGGTGGCAAATGCTTGTAATCCCAGCTGCTCAGGAGGCTGAGGCAGGAGGATCACAAGTTCAAAAAAGCTAGCCTCAGCAAAAGTGAGGCACTCAGCAACTCAGTGAGATCCTGTGTCTAAATAAAATACAAAATATTACTGGGGATATGGCTCAGTGGTTGAGTGCCCCCGAGTTTAATCCCCGGTACTTTCCCCTGCAAAAAATCACAGAAAGGATATAGAGAAGATGCAGAAATAGACCTAATCTGAAACAAAAATGAAAATCACCTTTTTAACTTATTAAGTCTAACTGACCAAGACAAAAAAGTAAGTGGCAGTCAACATGCAGGTAACAAGAATAAGTGACACTCAACTGCTGTTTCCTTAAGATTTGACCCAGTGTCAAGTTTCTTAGGCAGTAAAGAATTTATTTCCAAAGGATTTTTTCTTTTTAGGAATGTATTCTCCAAGAGGTATATTAAAACAAGTACCTCTCGTTGTAGCTTCCTCTTTTCTGCCTTCAGTTCATCTTCAACTTTCTCAGCATTCTCAGCAGCAGTTTTGTATCTCAGCACCTGCCCCTCAAGCCGGTTAATCTGTGAATATGAGAATACAGGCATCTAGTATTCACTACCACTATTTGGTAGCCACAATGGAAATATGACATCATTACGATTTCTAAATAATCAAACACTAATGAGTCCCCCTAGGATGAGTCATAGGTCTTCTCAGACCCAGCTACTATTTATAAACCAAGAAGAATCTCCAAGAGGATTACAGATATAGAGTCATTGGGCCAATTTCCCAATTTTATGATAAAATATTGTTTAAGTGCCAAAGTAGCATTGTAAGAGGAAAGTCACTGGAGAAGTTTCTAGACTTTTTTAAATGTACACTAAGGGATTTTGTTAGATGTTATGATCTTGAATTCTTCTGAAATATCTACAAAAAAAACAATTATTAGGTATATTTTTTTTATGTTTTTAGAGAAAACAGAAGGCTAAAGCACCCTGCCAGGTGCTCTCTGCTGGCTTCTCTATTTTAAAGAGCTTTTTTGGAGACCCAAATAGGGTGGGTATGTTGATGCATGCCTATTATCCCAGCAACTTGGGAGGCTGAGGCAGGAGGATTACAAGCTCTAGACCAGCCTTGGCAACTTAGCAAAACCCTGTCTCAAACTTAAAAATAAAAAGGGCTGAAAATACAGCTTAATGGTAGAACACTGCTGGATTGAATTCTCAGTACCACCACCAAAAAAACAAACAAATAAACAAATAAAAAACCTCACAGTAACTCTTGCACTCATAGGGTTAGCCACTTAGATGCAGGAAGCGGAGATGTTTTTAAAAAAAATTAAATCACAAAGTACCATACAGAAGAAGTACTTACACTTTGCTCCAAGGTGGTTATATCCTGTTCTGCTTTTGAAAGCTTAAATTTGTATTCACTAATTTGTCTATTGGCATCTCCTAGAACAGAATATAATGATGAATAATCTTCATCTTTCGGATATGCAGCATGCAGAGAAATGTGCCCTCCGAGACTATGAAACACAAAACACAGCAATTGCCACATCTCCAGCAGCCAAGTGATGGGCTGCTGAATCTCCAGCACTTATGTTGCAACAGCATTCCCTTGAACTAGAAATTCAGAGAAAAGTCTTTCTTCACCCCTTGATCTAGTGAGCAAAACCTAGAGAAAGAAACCCTGCCAAGGAAGCAACTTCATCCGCAGCCCTGTATCCCACAGAGCCTCCATGCTCACAGAACTGGGCCTTCTGGTTCCCCAAACCTAACCCTATACCTCCCACCTTCCAGGTTTTGCTTCTGCTCCCCCAAACCTCAAGTGCCCTTTCATCTCCTGCATGACTCTCTTTAGTTAACTGTATCTTCTCCTTCCCTTATGGCATTAAAATTTGTTTTTTATGACAATGATCATGTTTTCAAATTGTGTGTGTGTGTGTGTGTGAGAGAGAGAGAGAGAGAGAGTATATGTTTGTATATGTGTGTGTGCGTAAGGTAAGGGGCTCTGTCTTAGCCTTGGATGCTTCAGTATTTGCTAGAAGAAATGCTTTTTAATAAACTGTGATAATGTTTGCAAAGAGCTATGAATTATTAGATGTGCATCTGACCTAAGAAATAAATCACTTAAAATGAGAAGCTGAGAAATGAATGGGGCACGGAATAAAAAATCCCTCCAGGAACCCAAATTTAACAAAAATTTCCCTATACAATGATTATAGAATCATCTTAGTTTGAAGGAGATAAAGTAAATCTAACTTTTAAACAAAAAGAAATATTCAAATAACCTAAGAACTTTTCTATATTTCCACATGGTCAAGATTATAACTACTTAATTATCTTCAATGCAAGAGATGTTTGGAATAGTATAGCTGCTATCACCTTTCATGGGTTATAAAGCCACCCTGGAAGTGAAGAGAGCTATTCCATTCACAAGCTCTGTAACAGAAGGGTCTTGTTTTTCAATTTTAGGGTCTTGTTTTTCAATTCTTATCCCTAGCAACCTATTGATTATCAAAATATGCTGCTTCCCTCTCACTTTTCAACCCACCCATTCCTTCCTGTTTACAAAAGTATAAGTCCCTTGTCTCAGTCATTTCATGTGTCATTTCATTCCAAAGCACAATGTCTGCCAAGGTGCTTTTCAAAGCCAAGAGTTGCCTGGGCCCCTTTCCTGGCCTTCTGGTCCAAGGGAGCTGCTTGCTTTTGTCTTCACCAGCTCGGCCTGGCATTCCCACAGTCCTGCTCAGCTCACTTTGTTTTATTCCGCCCCCCACCCCTGCCCTGCCCCCCCCATCCCTGGAGACTTTTTCCTTCTGCAAAAACCAGCTCTACAACACCCACTTGGCTCTAGAAAGTACCCACACATAAATGCCAGCCCATTTCTCTTCAATTCCTTCTGAATTTCTCCTGTCAGAAGTCCCTGTACTGATTCAGGCTCACCATCATATCTTCCTAACTAGCCAGCCCCCTCTAATCCTGTCCCTGTTTTCATCAACCCTCCACAGTGAAATGATATTCTGTAATAAAACATTCACCAGGAAACATTATTAGCATTTTAGCTGACCCCAAAAGAAGAAGTAAGACTTCAAAAGTTGGTACTAATAAACCTTAATTCAAAAAGTCGTATCTATTTGACCTAATTCAGATTATTTACCTAATAGCCAAGATTTTAAAATCAGTTATCAGGAAAGCTATTCAAATTGGAAAAATCAGTCTTTCCCTGTCTATAAATTATGCCACCACCAACAAAACCAACTATATACCAATGGCTGCTGAAATCCCTGAGCTAGGGATTTAATATGAATGCTATATATGTGTGTAAAAATAATATGGGGTCAAAAGTAGAAAGGGCTAAATACTGGAATAATCTGGATAAAACAGTACACTAGACTTGTGATCTTTTTAAAATTCCATCTAGAGACTAATTTGGGTTAAAATATACTTCCAGAAAATGAAAAGCTGTGCTGCAATTTTGTACAATGACTCAAAATGCATTCTGATGTCATACATACCTAATTAAAATAAATTAATAAAAAAGTACTTCTAGAAAAAAAATTTAAAACTACTTAACATTAGTATTAGTCCCAAATCTCCAATTATCCAAGATAAATTCTACAAAACTTTAATGGGGGAAGGGTGCTGCATGGGAGCTTAAAGTTACACCTAGGTGTGACAAAGGACAGTATCAGGTTGTCAAAGGCATTTCACAACTTGCAAAAAGCTCCAAGAAACCCCTTTGCCCAGAAACAGCAGGAGAGCAAGATGGTGTCCTCTCACATACCTAAAGGCCACAGACCAATGCAGCCTCTGCTCAGCTGCTTTACTGACTGCTGTCTAGACTAACCAATGACCAAAACAAGTGAGTATGAGAACCCAATAACCTGCTCACAATCCCACTCTGGGGACACACCTGTATACAAATGGAGACTGGCCTGTCCCCTAGTACCTACTCTGCATTTCGATAAACTGCAAGTCTGAGCCATTCTGAAGTCCTGCCAAGTCACCCGCTGTGCCATCATTCCTGGAGCACTTCTGCCGTTCTTCTTCTAACTGCAGTTTCAGTTTTCTAATCTGAAATGGAAATAAATGTCACTGTCAAAATCCACTCTCTCAAATGAAGCAGATGCTTGACCCGGTGGCCACGTCACAGAACAAAGCAGATTCTCATCATATTGGCCATACAAATCATTCCATTCAGATGATTTTCTTGAGTGCCTACTAAGGGACACATGATTCTAGGTACTAGAGGTAAGCTCTAAACAAATATAAAAAGAAGTGAGCCCTAGGACCAGGTGTCCCAATAAAAACAGCCATATTTTATTATTTGTGTATATTTATGGAACAGTACATCTTTGGGTATTTTACTTTTATTAAAAATGGAAAGTCTCACAAGCAGTTACAATTTATTCTTATCACCAGTAATGTTTAATTTAGAGATAAGTGAAATATTTAGAAAGCTTTCTATATACAAAAATGATTAGAAACGTCCAAGTGGCTTCCCAACTGTCCTCAACTCTATCCACAGTAGTCAAGAGGAAGTTTGCCACTAACCTCATGGGGAAAGGGTGAGCTCTGCACTGGACTAAACTCATGCTCTGACTTCTGAACATTCATGGGGTTGCCAGTATTCTCTGCCTTGAGGAAATCATTACATCCATTTCGAAAAGGGTCGTCCTTCCTCTTCTGCACTCTTCCCCCACAAGACTATACAGCCCATAACCTTCATCTCCTAACCATTCCCAGTGCCTGGAACTCTTCTACTGTGCCCTCTGGAAGTGTCAGTCCATCAGTAGCAAGCCCCTGCCTCCTTCAGCTTCTTCTCTGAGCTCTTCCTTTACCTCAGTGCTGATCTACATTCTTCTGCAGTCCCACCAAGTACTGGGTGTTTTGTTTTTGTTTTTCTTCCACAGCCTCCTAACACTGAACCCAGAAATTAATAGGTGTCCTCTTGTTTTCCTTGCTGGTACTGAATTATTCTACACCCCATCCTCCTTTAAAGGCACAGTTCTTAATTTCATCTCTTCAAATTACACACACTACCTCCCTCTCCTCACCTCCATCATCCCACTCCATCAGCATTTTAGTTCCTCAAGACCACCCATCTTCATTCTCAGTAATTTCAAGAAACACCTACAGAGAGGCTCTTGGGCTCATCTCTCAGTTTCTGGAATACTTCCTCTCCAAGGATCTTGCTATCCACCCTTTCTTGTCCCCAGCCACTCATGCTATAGTCATAGATTAGATCTCAACATCAGAGAACAGTTCCTATACAATTCAGCTCCATGCATCCTCCCCCTCACCACGATTCCTAATCTTTCCAACTCATTATCTATAGACCCTAACATACTTCAACTCCACTATACTTCTAGTCCACTGATTCTATCGTATTTTCACAGTGCCTTGATGTTTTCTTGGATGTCCTCTCAATCCTCCTTATCCAGATTAATTTCTAGGTCCACTAGACTCATCATTCTCTTCTATACTCCCTCACCTCCCTTGCCCCATTATACTTGCCTAGTAAAATATAACTCTACTCAGTCATGACCTCTACCCATGGAGCTGACTGTAGCTAGTGAAACACTTATAATAAATGCATTCACATAAACTTTTAACATAGCATATAATTTACTTCTTAATTACATTCACTATTTATTATCTCTGATCTCTTCTCTCTACAATGTAAGATCCATTGGGACAGATCGGTTTCTGAACTGATTTATTCACTTAAATATCCCAAGTGCGTAGAATAGTGACTGTTAAATAGTGGCATCTCTCTCAACACTTGATGAATGATTGAGTAGGAGGAGTAAGGGAAAAGTCAACAAAATAATTTAAGAAATTTTCCCAGAACTAAAAACAGAAGTTCCTAGAATTGACAGGGTCCAGTGTCATGCAATAAAACTTCAAAACACATCACTGAAATTTTAAAACACTAATGAGAAAGAGAATAGGACATGAGCTTTCAGAAGCAGGGTAAAAATATGTCACCTAAAAAAGATTTAAAAATCAAAATGTCCTCAAACACTCTTAACCACACTGGAAGACAGAGAAGTTTGTTTAAAATCCAAAGGGAAATGCTGCAGACCAGAAGAATTAGATACTGATAATCAAGCAAGAGAGTAAAATAAAAGACACTTTAGGCCCAGAACATCATGAAAAGTTAACAGCCCACATACCCTTTCCTCAGGAAGTTATGGAAGATACACCAAAATAAAAGAAAAAATAAAGGAAGAAGGCATCAGACTAGGAAAAGGGAACTGAGCCCAAATCATAGGCAGAGAAAAGTCCCACGTGCCAAGACAGCATGATCACATCTGCATGTGGAAGGAGAAAGCCACTAGTTTAGAATGGGTCAAGTCAGAGCCAAGACTTCTGAAGATAAAACAAGAGAATACCTGATGCATGTGAAAACAACAAGAATGGGTTTAAACTACTGCTTAAAACTCTGTGGCTAAATTAATGATAAACACAAAGAAAACCAGGAAAATGAAACGAAAAGAAAGACCACAGTATTAACAAATGGTTGTGAAAGAGATGAAAGTCAAGCCTAGAATGTCACATGGCTTCCTTGTGAGTAATGCTCAGAAGTCCTGATGACATAAACAGACTAGAATTACACTGTTCCTTCATTAATAGGATATGAGGATGGGGAAGTATGCAAGTCCAAGACAGGGACAGAGGACGAAAAACAGCTAAGTTCTCATCTTGCACAGAGGAATGTCAACAGAGAATGCCTAAAACAGAACGATCAAGAAGCAACATAAGCAGGTTACAAACCAAAAGAGTCAGCTGTAAACTAAATAGAAATGGTCAGGGCTGATAGAGGAGTCAGGCAAAGGACTGCTGTCTCCACTCACTTTGCGGAACTCAATGACTCACTGGAGATTGTGTCCTATAGTTTTTTAAGAGTAAGAAACAACAAAGACACAAAATATGCACTATCTTTTTATCTTTTAAATTTCACTTGAGTACTGAGGTTTAAAATAAGCACATTTCCAATTTCCAATGAATAGTTTATTAACAGTCTGCCATGTAACTTAAGTAAATTAACAATATCTTCTAAAAAGAAGAAAATCTTTACCTGTGATAGTAGCTCTTCCTTTTCTCCTGCAAGTTTCTGTAGCCTTACATCTGAAACAAATGAAAAAGGCTATAAACTAAATTTGTAATGAAGTAGTATATAAACAATTAATTTCTCAAATAGCAAACATCTGATAAGTTACATTACCTACAGCTCCAAGTATGAAAAGAAATAGAAACTTTCATACTATTACTTAATTATCCCAAATGTATTTCCACACATTGATGTTTATCAGGGCACCAAATACAACATTTGCTCCTAAAACAGTGATTTTTCCAGTTAAGAACAAACTGAAGCACAAAGGAGACCACTTCCTTGTTTCTAAAATTTACAAACTTTCACCAGTAGACAGAAAAACTCAAATGCCAATGGGAGTCCCACAGGCTTCTACTTTCAGTAGGAGAGCTCAAAACTTGTGAAAGACAGGGACTGAGCAAGGGCAAGCTAAAGCCAAGAAAACAGAGGACCACAATGCTAGAAGGAGCAAATTCCCACAAAATTTAGTGAGTGAGAGTCGGAAAACTCTTAAGATGGGGCAGCCATGGGCAAATCTGGTGCTGGGAAGCAGGGTCATTAGGGCTTGCTCCCAGTCTGTGGAGTATGTTGCTTCTTCCTAAGCAGGCACCAATAAGCCCTGTTATAGTTTGGATATGAAGTGTCCCCTGAAAAGCTTCTGTGTTAGAAACACAATCCTCAATGTAGCAAGATTCCAAGGAAAAAATATTGGATCATGAGAGCTGTAACTTCATCAGTGGACTAATCAGTTTGGTGGAGTAATAATATGAATGAACTACTTAAGGTGGGAACTGTAAGTAGGTGGGGCATAGATGAAGAAACTAAGTCACCAGGGGCATGCCTCTGGAGACTGTATCTTATTCCTGCCTCCTTCCTTACTACTTCTTTCCTTTCTACTTCCTGACTGAGAGGAGCTGAGAAGCTTTCCTCCACTACACCCCTTCCACTATGATGTTCTGTCTCACCATAGCACAACAGAGCTAGCAGACCACAGGCTAAAATTTCTGAAACCATAGCCAAAATAAGTCTTTCCTCTTCCAAATTGTTCTTTTCAGGTTATTTTGTTCACACTGATGAAAAGCTAAGTAACATAGGCCTCTGGGTCTGAGGAGACTACAATAGTTCAGTTAAAGAAGCACATCCCACAATTAATAAGGGTCACAGCCAAATATAAGTTCTGTTTTCTTCAGCACTTTCCAAACAGGCAGAAGAAATACTGTGAGCTATCCTAGACTCTACTTATTCCATTCTCTAGATCTTCCCTCTCACCCACCCAGCATCTTCTACTTTATCAAAGTGCCCTATAACTACATTTCAGAAATTCTGCACATTGAAGAACCTGCTTACTAACTTTTAAAATACTATCAGCTTGTGCCACTTTTCCAGCACCTCCTGCTCCTTTAGGAAACCTTGGCATATATAAAAACAAGATGAAAAATGTAAAAGGATTGTTTCTTAATAGGTAAAAGTGAGCTGATGATACAGTAACTATTTGTGTTATTCTTCTTCCTTTAGTAGGACTGTTAGGGACAACGGATGGGCACCCTGGTGGTTTCCTTGGGAGAGGTGCCACTAGGTTCTCAGAATGACATTTAAGAGGTCCAGATTTTAAGAGGCTTAGAAGCCCTGCTCTAGAAATCTCAGGCCTCTGATACCCATCGTTCCTGATCATCTATTTCTTGCCTTAAGAAATGTGATGGCAAAGAGCTATCCCTGAACTAAGTAGTGAAAAACAAAACCAGATGTTCCAGGAAGAAAAAACTAAAAATACACTTGGAAAGTTGCTGCCAACCCACAGCCTCCCTGGGATGGGCATGCTTGACTTTTTTTTGTGAAAAGCACTGGGTGCAGACCCATGGTGCTTCCATCCAGGGACCTTATAGATACACTTAACTGCCTCACAATGACTCAGATGCTGGTTACCCAATGTCAAAAGATGTCTAAAGATAATATATCCAGATCTTCCTGTTAGGGAGCTAGATGAGTTTCAGATGGCCCTTATCCTGTTTTTGTTTTCCAAGCTGGATTATGAACAAGCTAGAAGTCCAACAACATTGATCCAAGATAAAATAGCAACCAGTCTTACCTAGTGGCCCTTCTCCCGCTGACTCCAGGACCTGAGCAGCTTTCTGAGACACAACAGTAATGGCACCAACCACTGGTTCATGATTGACATCACCATTGGGAGTGCCGTCAGGAATTATAACTAAACCATGTTTCTGTGGGAAAGGAAAAAAAAAAAAAAAAAAAACAACCCACCATCACAAAAGATGGCTCATATGAAAGCAGAAGCTCTGTGAGGTAACTCTGCAACAATGTATGTTTGCCACGGGGGAAACCTAGTTAGAATCAATTACATGGAATATATAGACACCTCTGTGAAGAAAATGACTTAATCAAACCAGATCAAAATTGTCGTTTGTATTCAGGCTAGGAAAGATGACAGGATAAGAGAAAGACAGAGTAAAGCAGTGGGGAAACTGAGCTCTAGCTCATGCTCACATACCTCTCCTGTCACTGTCTCCTGCAGGTCAGCCAGCTCCTCTCTGAGCGTATCTCGCTCATTCCTAAGGCAGGCAATGTATTCTTTCTGTTTCTCTAGGGCCTGGTTTTAGGAAGGGTAGCAAGGGAAAAAATGGCACAGAAAAAGAGCAAGTGAAAGGTAACTAATTCAAATAAGCAAAGATAAAGGCATAAAAAGCAAGGAGGCCATTAAAAGCTGGGAAACAAGCAGTCAGGGGAGGAAATGATTATATGGGTATACATCTGCAGAAGAGAGCTTTAGTAGAAACTGGTTCTCATGCATAAATTTAGCAAAACATGCTTATCACATCAAGCAGGAAAAAATCTTCCTTTTCCAGTCAAAGAAGAAAATAGGAAAAGGAAGATGAAGACAGCAGCAAGAGTTAAAATTTTCCTCACTGACCTCCTTAGTACATTCTCATTTGGTCAACAACAACAAGAAGTATTTCATGTTTAACTAAAACAACTTACTCAAGAATATATCTGATCTCTTTAAAATAAAAAGTTGGTTTTGGAAGAAAAATAACCAGTATACGTAAGTTATTTTGATTAAATATTGGCTGTATGATTGTTCTCCAAATAGTGTGGCAAAATACTCAAATACCACTTAGTCCAAAATAGCAAGTCTCCAAAGGGATTTTCCAGGATTTCTGTTAATTTAATAAAATACAATTAAGACTCATTTGGTTTTCTGATGTACTTTCAAAATGTGAAAAGCAAAAATAAAACATTGACAAAATAAATACAGCCCACCTATGGAGGCTGGCAGATTATGGGTTCCAGGATAAAGCTTTTAGGTCCTGGCATATATTTAATTTACCTATGCCTCAATTTCCTTATCTGATAAACAGTAGAGATAGCAACAGTGCTCACCCCAAGGGTAGAGGTTTAAAGGGGTACTCAGCAAAGAGCACTACCTGCAGTAGCCAAGGCCACAGGAGAGGTTCAGAGAAAGCAGACTGGTGTTTCCACTGGGAACTCCCTGAATCTCAGAACTATCAAAGGTAAGGAGGACAATGCAAAAGCAGAAAAAAAATCAAATCTACTATGTAGTAACCCAGACTTTAAAACATTACTACCTTAAGTAATCTATGCAGGGACCTCACAGCTGGGCTACTTCAAAAAGTCTCTCTATATACTTATTCCTGTATTTAATGTTTTCTGCCAGCATTCCCATAAACCCAAGAAGTTAAATTACAACAGGTAAACTTATCTCTCCGTTGACTAGGTTTCAAAGTGGGCCAACTGCTTAGTTACTATACAATCGAGCAATTTTTAAAAATCATTGTAATTCTATTCTGCAGCCAAATTGGGACTAAAAAGGAATCATAGCAATGACCATTTGTGGAACGCAAATTATATGGCAGGAGCTATTTTATGTACCCATAATTTCTCCCTTATATGTAATTTTATATATGAAATATCTCCTTTATGTACAGTGCAAATGTACTACTTGTCTTATCCTCATTTTATAGATCAGAAAATTGAGGCTCAGAGAAGTGTTTTTTTGTATGTGGGTGTGGTGGTGGTGGTGGGGGTCTTCCTTTTGTTGATTGGTTGGTTGGTTGGTTGGTTTTCCCCCAAAGTCACAGTAAGTGGCAAGACCAGAAAATGAATCTAATTCTTTTTGGTTCCAAAGACCTTGCATACACAGTTTTTTTTTTTTTTTTTTTTTTTTATATCACAGTTCTATAGAGGTTGCATTATGTTACTTAATTATCATCCCAAATAATGTTAGAAAAGTAGGTCACAGGGCAAGTCTGCTCTTATCCAATTGCAATGTCAATATCTAACTTCTTTTTTTTTTTTTTTGGCAGGGGCCAGTGAGAATAACTGGGGATTGAACTCAGGGGCACTCAACCACTGAGTCACATCCCCAGCCCTATTTTGTATTTTATTTAGAGACAGGTTTTCACTGAGTTGCTTAGTGCCTCACTTTTACTGAGACTGGCTTTGAACTTGATCCTCCTGCCTCAGCCTCCAGAGCTGCTGGGATTACAGGATTATGCGCTAACCACAGTTGAGTTAACTTCCTTTTATAGTTTATATTTGTATTATATGATCTACCTGTAAATTAATTTGAGTTTCTAGTACCATATGGTGTTTACTCTAACACTTGGGGATAGCATTAACACTCTATTAGATTATTAACAAATGGAACATCAGGAGAACAAAACACAGTGATATCTTCCCATCAGCGGATAGCCACACTTTAATTTCTGCTGGGTTAGATACTTTTAGTTATTGGTATCTGCATGCATAATTATGCCATGCATCACCACATGTAACTGAGTAAATGATCACTGTCACAACATGCTCTATAGAAACAATACCACTGAATATAAAAGACCGCTTAGGAACAGACCAATTTGAAACCAAGAATTCTAGCAAATGCTAGTACATGACATTTTCTCCTCTTTCCACATTTGTACTGCTGGGTTTTAATTTTTACTTTTAGACTTTTTAATTTCATCCTCCCACAATTGTAGATGGGAAAATAAAATATATCCTGTATATCTGTCCATTTCACCACAAAGTTTGAAAACTACCAAAATACCTTATAATTGGATAAAACGTATTCATGCTGGATTTGCAATCCTGTGGCATTACCTGACCATATATAACAACTACCCTTGTGTTTGCATGCAATAATAGTTCCTACAGTTGATTTTTTTTTTTTAGAGAAAAAGTACATGTTTGTGGAGATCTAAATAATTCTTTATCCCTAACCTAACCTCAAAAGGCCAAACAGAGATATATGCAATATATATGGCTGAACTTTGAGGCAACAGGTTAAATCACCATATAATTGTTCTGGGCCACAAATATCTTACTCAGAATGGGAACAAATGTATGATGGGTTAGCCAAGCACACAGGGCCTTTGTATACACTTACTCTACACATGGGCATTTGAGGAGAACTGCAGTGGAACTAGAGGCAAGACCATTGAGCTCATTGAAGGAACAACTAGAAAAACTGAACTCTAACCTGGGAATCACAGACATATTTCAACGGGAAGTCACAAAATCTGAATCTTGGAAATGATGCTAGAGACAAATGATGTATTAAGTAGTCACTGATCATAACTGAAATGTGTCTTCAAAGTTAAAAGAGGATTACCTTGAATCTATTAGAACGGCTAATAATAATAAGGTAATAATGGCTACCTATAGTAAGAAACACGTATTGGAGAAACTGTGGAGGAACTGGAACGTTTGTGCACTACTAATGGGAATGTAAGAAGACATAGTCACTATGGAAAATGGAATGACTGGTCCTCAAAAATTTACATAGAATTACTATATGATTCAGCAATTCTACTGCTGAGTATTTCAAGACAATTGAAAGCATGATCTCAAAGAGATATCTGTATACCATGTTCACAGGAGAATTATTCACAACTTCCAAAAGGGAAAAGCAACCCAAGTGTACATCAATGGATAAATGTGGTATACACATACAATGGAATATTAGTCAACTTTAAAAATTAAGGACATTCATTCTGACATATGCTACAATACTGATTATTGTAGAGATTATGCTTAATGAAATAAGCCACTTATAAAAGGACAAATACTATACGATTGTATTTATACAGTACAGTACCTTCAGATAGAGTAAAAGGATGGCTGGCAGGGATGGCAGCTGTTTGATGGGAACAAAGTATTAGCTGGGGAAGATGAAAAATTCTGGTGGTGGATGGCGGTGACAGTAGCACAACACTGTGAATATACTTAAATGCCACTGAACTATACCCTTAAGAAATGGTTAAGATGGTAAATTGTATGTTGTTTATATTTTAGAACAATTTTTCATAAAACATTCTTAAATGGCAGCAGTATAGAAATAGAAAACAGAGTTTGGGGTGGGAGGGACAGGGGTAGTAGATGTGGCCAAAAGGGAGGAGTGATCTGCTAGGCACAATGGTGCATGCCTGTAATCCCAAAGACTTAGAACACTGAGGCTGGAGGATTACAAGTTCAAGGCCAGCCTTAGCAATTTAGCAAGACCATTGTCTCAAAATAAAAACTAAAAAGGGCTGGGGATATGGCTCAGTGGTAGAATGTTCCTGGGTACCAGAGTCAGGACAGGGAAGAGAGATCCCTTTTGGGAATGGAAAACTTCTGTATCTCAACTTATTATATACAGTATCCTGGTTGTGATATTTATTATACTAGTTTTGCAATGTGGGAACATTTGGGAAAACAGAATAAAAGGCATACAGGATCTTTCTGTATTATTTCTTATAGTTGCATGTGACTCTAAAATGTTCTCAAAATTAAAAATGTTTAATTTTAAGAAGTCAAAGGAATGCATAATTGTACAGCCACAGAATAAAGACTTCTAGTTATTCATTCAAAAAATGTCCAGACAATTAAAAAGTCAAGTTTATAACTTAACCATCAGCATGCCCGTTTGGTAGCAAAGAACATTTTATTGAACTAAATGTTTTAAGAGTTTCTAAGACTGGTCCACAATACTCAGTTTCAAAAACTGAGACAACTATACAAATTAGAAACCCTGGATCTGTAGATTTGTGCTAAAGGAAATTATGTAAAGTCCTAAAAGAAGCCCACTGTAGACAATGACTAGATTTTTAATTATACTTTACAAATTGCCTAATTTATAACATAAATTTTTCATATCTCATTTTATAGTTCCCAAGTAAAAGTTTAAATAAAATCAGTAGTTCACAACCACAATTTCAAAATGCCTAATAGAGTTGCTCATTCATCCCTTAGAAAGCTTTCCTAGGTTTGGATGAAGTTTCAGAAACTCAGTAACTTAAGCATCAGAAAATTATCTAAAAGTAGTTTAGTTCTTTAAATTCTTGATCTATGAACTCCTTTGTGTTTATTAACTGAAGATGAGGTACCTGGAATGGTAAAAAGAATGGGGTACAGCTGACCACCAGCTGGGCATCAGAATGGTCCTAAAAAGGAAGGATCTGTTGCAGAGCATTCACATCTGAGCATGTCTGTCACATCCACAAGTGCTTTTGTGGATCTCTGCCAACATTTCACTGCCCTATCTAATCTTAAACAAAAAAAAAACAAGACTTTCCTCATTTGTTTTTTGTTTCCTTTCCCTAAAAAGGTAAGCCTCTGGCAACTACGTAGGACCCACGAACCCAAGGCAGAACAGAAAGCTCATGCCAAAAGACAGGATTGTCAGTTGAAGGACACCTGACAATTTTCAGTTTCCAGAGTACTTGGAATCTACCTGCAAGACTAAGCAAAAAAAGCAATGAGGAATTTTTCCCTTATCTGGGCTCTGCTTTAGGGAGTTCTGGATTTATAATTAGAGATGATGTCACAGTTTGGCAACTCACCCTAGTCTAACATTCCTATCAACTTCCATAATTGAACTGATTTTAATCTCTTCCCATTTTATTCACTGAGAATTTATAGGAGGCTCATAACTTTTTCCCTATCCCCACTCCCTATCTTTCTGCTTCTTATTCAGATTCTTGTAAACATATCAAACTACCCACAAACTTTGAATTAAATGCCTGTGGCTGCTTCTGGATATGGATCCTAGGAGCAAGAAGAACACCTTCTTTTAAAGTTCTACTCATAGGTTTCACAAGCCCCAAGTCGGCTGGAAAGATGAATTCTTTCCAGGCACAGAATCAGGTTTTCCCATGGAAGACCCTCTGTCTTCTGCTAATCATATTTCACGTTGTATAACTACTCAAGAACAATCGAAAGGCCAGATTTTTAGGAGTCCCTAAGTTAAATTCTATTGGTCTATTCCTCATAAATGAGCTTCTAATCAAAGCCCAACTTCATCTCATACCCCAATTTTTTTATCTTTCCAAAGAAGTGTCTCCTGGAGGTCAAACACTTCTTTTGTCATGGTGTCTAGTTTCTGCTGCATGCGCTGATTCTCCTGCAGAGGAAGAGGGTAAGAGAAGTAATAAAAGAGCAGAAGAAAAAAGGGAAGGAGTCAGAGAGAGGAAAACAGATAAAAAATAAAGCTGATAAACTTTTTAAAAGTTGGGATAAACAGAAAAGGCAAGAGTAGTTTGCTAAAAGGAAAGATGACATCCAGGGTCTTGCAACAGGAGTCTCACTGGCTTGCCCCTACAAAAGTTGGGGTGGGGCTTCTAGGGGTGCAGTTCACTGGCAGAGTACATGTTTAGTATGCACCAGGCTCTGGGTTTGATCCTCAGCATCGCCAAAAAAAAAAAAAAAAAAAAAAAAAAAAAAAAAAGCAAGCAAGAGGACTGGGAATAACTGTTCCAACCACAGTTATGTGGCAGCAAGCCAGCTAGATTTCTGTGTACATGTGGCTCCATATGTGTACTCTTTCTTTGATAACTGCTTTTCCCAAACATGGAACAACTTACATTTCTAGAATTGTTTATGAACAAATGATCCTTTTTCACAGAGAATAAGTAGGATTTTTGAATTTTATATTTTAAAACAGAACTAAAAAAATAAGACATGTATTAGATTGATAACTGATTTTCTGTTAGCAGAATCTATAATAGTAGGAACATCATGAATTATAAAGGAAACATCAGTTAGAAAAACCAGAATTTAACATTTAGCAATTCTCAAAGAATTCTTTTAATTAGGCAATGATACTTACTTGATATCCTCTTGTACTTAAGTTGCTTTGTTATACATTGTTGGTAAATTATCACTACCAACTTTCCCTACTCATACTGTAATTTGTGATCCTCCCGACTTAGCCTCCTGATTATCCTGTAATCCCAGATAATCAGGAGCCTAAGGCAGTAGGATCACGAATTTGAAGTAAGCCTTGGCAACTTACGGAGACCACCTCAAAATAAAATTAAAAAGCCAACAAATGTAATGCCAAAGGGTTTAATACCAGGTATAAAAATAAAGACGAAAAAGTTCAGGAGATCTCATATACAACAATGTGAATACACTTAACACTACTCAACCATATCTTTTAAAATGTTTAAAATACTGGGCTATTGAAGGGGGAATGTTTACAGGATTCATAGTCATAATTTGTTTTAAATCTGCCTTTATGTTTCATATTTAAAATTTTTTAGGAGACAACCAAATGTGAAGACACAATGAACTCTGTAGCATTTTACCTTTCTTCTCCCAGCATACATACCTGCATCCTAATCAACTCATGTTCTATCAAAATTGAGTATTCCCACAGTTCATGGACATACCTCAATAAGCTCATCTCTTTGCCGAAGGCCTTCTTTAAGTTCATCCATCTTATGCTGCAGCACACTACACATATGTTTCTGCCTTTCTAGCTCCTGTTATTAAACAAAAGATATCATCATTTATATGGGTCATGGCAGAGAACATATGTGATAAAACACAGAGGCCAAGTGTGAGTTTCAGACACGTCTGGACTGCCGGTTTATAGGAACTTAGAACAACTGTACATTCCACAGAAAGATTTGAAAATCTTAAAAAGTTTCATCTTATGTGAGAAAGCAAGTAAGAGAGAACCAATTAACCACACAGAAATTTAATGGAAAAAATGTAACCAAAGGTAGGGAAACTTTACCTAAAATGATTCAAAAATCTGAAAGCAATAAGGGAAAATGAAGCAATAAATTAAACTACATAAAAATCAAAACTTTTAGCTTGGCATGGTAGTGCATATCTGTAATCCTAGTAACTCAGAAGGCCAAGGCAGAAGGATTGCAAATTCAAGGATAGCCTAAGCAACTTACAAGGCCCTGTCTCAAAATAAAAAAATAAAAAAGGATTAGGATTTGGCTCAGTGGCAGCATGTTTTGGGTTCAATACCCAATACTGGAGGAAAAAAAATGATGAAAAAGTTCTAGAGATCTGATGTGCAACAATGTGAATGAATACACTTAACATCACTCAACCATACTCTTTAAAATGCCAGGCATGGTGGCACGTGCCTGTAAACCCAGCTATCAAGGGGCTCAGGCAGAAGAATCACAAGTTCTAGGTCAGCCTATGCAATTAAGTGAGATCTTATTGCAAAAAACAAAAATAAGATGGGGTGGGACTGTAGCTCAGTGGTGATACTACTATGTTCAATCTCTAGTACTACAAAAATAAGTAAGAAAATATAGTAAAATAAAATGACTAAAATGATAAATTTTATGTTGTGCTGTTTACAATAAAAAATATAAATTAAAACCCCAAAGCAACACCTACATACATACTGACTATAAAATGCAATGAACTTAACTATATATTCATAGAGAAGATAGAGTAGCCTAAGCACAGAGAGAGAAAACTATTTCAAGTAACTTTTTAAAACAATAGTTTGGCTATACATAGCCTAGCAAAAATAAAGGCCATACCAAACCAAACATGTTTGACTCCTTTCAGTAATTATGTATGTGTTGATGTTGGTATTGCTATTCTGAGTAATATGGAATAAAGCAGTGAGAATAAAATGTAACGTAACTACTGTCATCCCCAGTGACTTTGAGAAATGGAAATTGCAGTGTGGGAAAAAGGAGATACAGATATTAAGACAGAAGAAGTTAAGTAAAATCCCTAAGGTCCTGAATATAAACTGGGACTACCAGCATGAACTTATAATAAACAAACAGGGGCTGGGGATGTGGCTCAAGCAGTAGCACGCTCGCCTGGCATGCACGGGGCGCTGGGTTCGATCCTCAGAACCACATAAAAATAAAGATGTTGTGTCCACCAAAAACTAAAAAATTTTAAAAAAACCTCTTTAAAAAACAAACAAACAAACAAACAAACAGAAGTCCCACATACATATTTCCCTGATATATCCAATAAAAGCCTATACACAGTGAGCAACTCAGGGACAAGAAGCACCCCTATCATCCATACTGCTCCACTGAAAGAGGACCAGGGTTCCTTGGGGAAATGGCTGATTCCAAGCCTAGGCCAGAAAATATACAAAATGAGGCAAGAACATCTTCTTCTGTCAGAAAGCAAAGAAGCTATCACAAACAATTAGACTCATCAAAAATAGTGGGGAATCAACCTGAAGAGGCTCACACTAGCCAAAAGTGGGACAATTTGAGCATCAATAAGAATAAAAGCTGCAATGCACTGAAAAAAAAAAATCAAATGTTTGAATTCATGACTTCATAATGATAATTCCTTGTTTTGAAAACTTGTAAATAAAGGCAAAGAATTAAGCCTTTATCTTACCTTCCTTATGTAAACCCATTCCCTATGTAAACCATCTCATCTGAATAATAAGAAATAAGGAAGTTTCTCTTTAAAGTGGACTTAAGTTAATAAAGCAAAAGAAAGTAAAAAGTCTACAGGAGAAGATACTTGCCACTCATGTATCTGATAAGTGACTTGTATTCAGAACTTATAAAAATTCATATAGCTCAATAATAGACAAATAATCCAAGTTTAAAAAATGGACAAAGGATCTGAATAGACATTTCGCAAAGGAAAATATACCAATAAGACCATGAAAATCTACTCCAAAGCATCAGACTATCAGGGAAATGCAAATCAAAATCATATCCACTAGGATGGGAAGAATAAAAGCCAGACAAATAATAAATGTTGGTGAGGATGCAAAGAAATCAGAACCTGCATAAACTGCTGGTAAGAAATGTAAATCAGTAAAGCTGCTTTGGAAAACAGTCTGTCATTCCTCAACTGAACAGAGAGTTACTCTATAGCCCAGCAAATTCACTCCTAAGGGTATACTTAAGAGAAAGGAAAATGTGTTCACACAGAAAAGTTTTGCAAAAATGTTTCTTGGAAAAAAGAAAAAAGAAAAAATTAAAAAAGAGCACATGCTGACCAAATGTGCTAAAATAAAAATAGGGAAAATAAAACTAAAAAAAAAATTTTTTTAATGTTTCTTGGACCATTAATACATCATTCTTTAGGCTGGATTTGGAGATCACAGGGAAAAAAAACTCCAAATCCCTATTGACCTCATCACTTTTTAAATGGCTGGATCTTATTTTCTGATCCAATAAAATGTTTGATACAAGATAGGCAATTACCTTTGATTTTTCTTCATTTTCTCTATAAAATTCCGCCATCTGTTCCTCCTGTTCTTCAATAACATCCTTAAGGGTGTCCACTTGATAGATCAAATTGTTCTTTTCATTGTCTAATTGTGCATTGGAAACCATGGCTTTCTTGTATTTCTCTTCCACTTCAGACAAAGACTCCTAAATGATAAAGTCATCAGCTTGGTATCTTAAATATGTTCATTGTATAGTATATAAGAAATATCACAGGAAATTATAGCACTGGCACAAACATATAAAGATGCATTTTCACAAAATAAAAGCAGTCTGGGAACTCCATGTTAAGTAACATGCACATAAAACAGGAAGATGATAATAAGCCAATAGAGCCTTTCTAAGAAATATATTTCCTCTCTGCTCACCAAGAAAACAAATCAAGCAGCAATATAGCTTCTGAAAGGTGTACACGTATGTGGAAAACATAATTGTAAGAGTCAGAAAATAATGAATCATTGATATTTTCAGAAATGTTACTCCTGGTAGTGTTCAAAATACAGTATATAACAATAACAACAAAATTTTGCCACTTCTTGAACATCTGTTTTCCATACTTTCCTACTGTGTGTGATAATGCTAATGTAAATATATAAACTTTCTTCTAGCAATTATTCAAATTTTAATCATTTTTTATAAATGAGCAATACAAAAACAAATATTTAAAGAGAGCTACCACAAAATGCCTGATATTTTATACACCTCAAAACTTCTACCTAAAATAGCTTATAAATGTTTTTCTAATAATTATATTTAATTTGGTAATTACTTGTACCTATTGATTTTTTAAAAGCAAAAATGAAAAACATTTCACCTAGAAAAAGAAATTAAGTTCTAGAAATAAATTTTTTAAAATACTAGCACAAATGTTTACAAACCAAGTTTCAAGGGAAAAAGATCTCCAAATCCTAAACCCTTACATTTATAATCAGTTAATTCTTGGCAAGTATGGTCATATATTTCAATGGGAAAAGAATAAATGATAGAGTTAACTGAACACTCACATATGAAAAGGATTAATTTAGGCCCCTATCTCACACCACACAGAAAATTACTCAAAATGAACCATACAGCTAAAACTATAAAATTCTTCAGAGAAAAAACATAAGTAAATCTTTAGGACATTGGGGTACGTAGTGGTTTCTTAGGTACAACAATGAAAGCTTATGAACCCCCTACAAATAAATTTAAAAGAGACTTCTTCAAAAATAAAACTTTTATGCTTTAAATAACCATCAAGAAAATGAAAAGACAACCCACAGAATGGGAGGAAATATTTGTAAATCCTATAACTGATAAAGAATTTATAGCTAGAATATATGAAGAACTCCTATAACTCAACAATAAAAGACAATATAACTCAATTTAAAAATGGGCAGGGACTCAGAAATATCTCCAACCAAGATACACAAACAGCCAGTAAACACATGAAAACAATATTATTAGACTTTAGGGAAATGCACATTAATACCAAAAAATGAGGCTGGGTGTAGTGGCTCATGCCTGTAATTGCAGCAACTTTGGGAGGCTGAGGAAGGAGGATCATCAGTGCAAGGCCAGCCTGGGCAATTTAGGGAGACCCTCAGCAACTTAGCATGACCCTGTCTCAAAATAAAAAATAAAAAGGACGGGGATGTAGCTCAGTGCGAAAGGATCCCTGGGTTCATTCCTAGTTCCCTCCAAAACAATGAGATATCACCTCACATTCACTAGAATGGCTATAATCTATAATCAAAAAGAAAAAAACAAGATATCAAGTTTTAGGGAAGATGTGGAGAAACTGGATCCTTTATAATTGCTAATAGGAATGTAAAATGGTATAGCTACTTTGGAAAACAGTTTGGCAGTTCCTCAAACTGTTAAATATAGAATTACCATATGATCCAGTAATTCTATTCCTACTTATGTACCCAAGAAAAATGAAGATAGGTCTACATAAAAACTGTACACAAATGTTCACAGCAGTAATATTCATAATAGCAAAAATAGTAAATGATATGTAGTAAGTAAATCTATATATGAAATATTATCCAGTCATTAAAAAAATACCAATACATGTTATAACATGGATGAATCTTATAAACATTATGTTAAATGAAAAAACAACCAAAAAGATCACATACTGTATGATTCTATTTATATGAAATCTTCAGAATAGGCAAATCTATAAAGACAAAGCTAGCAGCTGCTCAGACTAAGGATGGGAGTGGGAGAGGAAGAATGGGAAATGACTGTTAATAGGTACAGAGCCTCTGTGTCTGGGGTGATGAAATGTTCTAAAGCTAGGGTTATAGTGGTAGGTGCACAACTCTGTGATTATGCTGAAAACCACTAACTATGCACTTAAAATGGGCAAATATTATAGTGTGTGAATTATACCTTAATAAGAATACACACAAATACATTTCTCTCTCTCTCCAAAATCATGCTTCACAAAAGATTTAAACTAGTATTAGAAACATTCAATCTAAATAAAGATTATAAGCAAAGTCAACTGAATAATAGTACATATGTAATAGAATATTAATGTAATGCAGAATTTAGTATGATTTTTGTTCATTTGACAAGTAAAAAAAAAAAAAGTTCTTAACACAATTCGGTAGGGTAAAAATGCAAATTTTCAATTTCCTCCCAGATCCACTGAATCAGAAAATCTGGAGGTAGAGCCTAGCAATATCAATATATATATTTTAAAAGGCTCCAGGTAATTCTTGTGCACCCTAAAGTTTTGAAGTCACTGGGTAAAGGTTTAAAATCTGACTGTATATACCTATATATTCTTTTCTCTAATAAAATGACAACACTGTAATTTATTATGCATATTAACATTTATTCATGCCTAAGATTTCATCAGTCAGTTGTCCATTTTAAAAAGGTGTTTCTGGAAACAACAGTGGAGAAATGCCAAGTTCCAAAAGTAATGTTGTAAAGGGCAGCAGGTCTAGTATTCCAGGCACATATTTAACTAAATTATAGTCCATAACCCTGTGACTCCAAATATAAATTCTTTCTTTTATTTTTAAATGCCCATATAACTCTTAGGACAAACTTTCACAGCCCTATGACCAAAACCCTCAACTAGTTTGTGTACTACTTGATTTAATGGACATGATACCTTAATCATTTTATTCTCAGTGTATGCCCACAGTAGACATTTCATCAGACTGGCCAAGTTATAATGTAATACTTATACCCATAGTCTATTAACTCCTCTCGATAGTTCTTCCTGGGATTACTTAAGTCAAACTCTATTCCTACACTTCTTCTAAGAAGCAAAGGCATGGGAAATATTTGGAAGAACATTTTCAAAAGGTCTTAATTACAAAATGGTCAATAAAAATGAACCAAGTACCTATGTACTTTTACAAAGATGCATGAGTTTTGTTCTTGTCCTCTACATCTCAAAACCTAGTTAATAACCTATGAAACTGTACAAATTGATTAACAAATGTTAATTTCCAAATTTATGAAAAGACCGAGATAGCGAATATGAAATCCATAAATATTATCAACTATTTGTCATTATATGTCAAGTGTTAGTAAAGGTGATACACACTTAAATTGTTTGGGAGAGTGGAAGATGATCCATCCATTCAGGCTAAGATCATCAAGGAAGTGGAGTATGAACTGTTTCTTACCAAAAAACATTTACCAAAGATGGACTTTTTTGGCTAAATCAAGATTATGTTGGACCCAAGTGATTGCAAAGATAAGCTGGTGTCGCCCCTTCCTCGTGGCCTGCTGTGAAGGTAAGCTGGTGTCCTTCCTCATGGCCTGAAAAAATCACAGAATACTCTACTGCTAAAAGTTTGAGGGAGATACATTGAGTATCTTAGTACCAGTCCTGCCTCTCAAATTATCAAGAGGAAGTTTTGCATTCAACATTTTTAGAAATATACAGGGTCAAACCCTGGCCTCTAAGATTAGGGGTGGTGGGTAGGGATGGAGATTAACTGGATATTCAACCAGGAGTACTCGACAATTGAACTACACCCCCATCCCTTTTTAATTTTTTTGAGACAAGGTCCCACTAAGTTGCCAAAACTGATCTTGAACTGGTGTTCCTCCTGTCTTATTCTCTGGAAAAGCTGGGATTACAGGTATGTGCCACCATACCCAGCTTCAGGTAGGTTCTTAACTAATGTTATGACAATACCACCTAATAATAATTGCAGGGTATTATAAAGTATTTACATGTTCTTTATATGCCTTACTGAATATAATCTATGAGTAACTCCATCAGATATTTACCATCATCCCCATTGTGTAGATAACAGATGACAGGGAGGCTAAGTAATTTAAGTTTGGTCAGATAGTAATGGTAAGTCAAGATTTTAAGAATATTTTTAGTAATTCTGAAATGTTAACTACCAGTTAAAAAACCAACTGCTCCTAAAAGTACCTAAGCAAAACATGATAAGATTTTCACTGCAAGAAAAACAATACAGATAAAGCAAATTTCTTCCTTGACCATGTGCCTTCCAGAGACATCAGTGTTTGGTGGAGAACCTATCAGGCATTTCTTATTCATTCATATGCAGTTACTGCTTGCCTCTGTTTATGTTTTTAAACATAAATTATATACTATACATTGTATGCTACAGGTTGCCTTTTTTGAATGCCTTGGAAAGTTTTCGGTTGCTAGAAACAAGATTTACTACATTCTTTTATTTACTGCTGTTATTCCACGTTAAAATTTAGTTAGGTATCAATTTTAATAGTTTTTAAAATTAACTTAGTTTTTAATTTTTAAAAATCTTTTAGTTCACTTGTTTTTCAAAAATATTTTACTGTATTTTATGGGTAAGTGCACACTAAACAGTACTATGGAATGGGATAAACAGTGTATTGCTGAAGGCTCAACTTTCCTGATTAAAGAAAAGATAAAGGGAAGACTTGAGGAAAACAGTCCAAAGGCAAACATAATAATCAAGAATAATGTCGCTGGATTTGTGGCACATGTCTGTAATCCCAGCAGCTAGGGAGATTGAGGCAGGAGGATCACAAGTTCAAAGCCAGCCTCAGCAAAAACCGAGTCGCTAAGCAACTCAGTTGAGACCCTGTCTAAATAAAATAGGGATGTGGGTTAGTGGTCGAGTGCCCCTGAGTTCAATCCTGGCTCCCACCCTCCCCACTAAAAAAGAATAATGGCATTTGCAGTGAACCAACATACTTTTTAAAATAGAATATATCACAACACAATGCTTCATCACCAGATAGACTTTCCTCCCAAGGATAAACATAATCTGAAGTCAAGTTCAGTTATATACTAGCATGAACTAAAAAAAAAAGTGGGGGGGGGAATCTTAACTGTTCATGTCTCAAATCTAAGCTGTTCTTTTGTATACTTCAAAGAATGTGATAAATGCAATAAATACAAGAGAAAACATCTTTAAAAAATTAAAACAAGACTGCCTCTGAATCACTTGTTTGGTTTCCTGATGATACACTGTTAGGTATGAGAATTTAATATGCACATATTTATTTAATGTACTGAATTTGCTTCTTGAACCCAAGATTTTTCTACAAATTATGTTTTTAAAAGTTTAAATCAGGATTAAATCCTGAAGACTAGACCAATAAGATTATATGAGAAGAGTAACTAAATTTTCCTGATGTTTACTCAACCTCACATGGTCTTTTTTTTTGGTTGGGGGGAGGTGGCAGAAATTGAACTCAGAAGCACTCTACCACTGAGCCACAACCCCAGCTCTATTTTATATTTTTTATTTAGAGTCAAGGTCTCACTGAGTTGCTTAGTGCCTCGAGATTGCTGAGGCTGGGGCTTTTAACTTTTGATCCTCCTATCTCAGCCTCCCTAGCCACTGGGATTACAGGCATAAGTGGTCTTATTAGCAGCTTTCAGGCCTCCCTCATGGATACTCCCTATAGGACTTCCCACCCTTTGTGGTCCTGAATTTGAACTTATGGACCAAAGCACCAGCATGAAGGTGGTGGCTGGGAGCGCAGCTACTTCAAATCATGTCCTGCTCATGAGGTTCATGCTTTATCCTTTGAGCATATCCTGAGTCACCTTTCTGAATGTCTTGCTTTTGCATTTTTAGAGACTTGGTGCATATTTTTATTGCAAATCAGGATGCTATATGCAGACCTAAACTTTGGGTTTCTTCATAAAACTAGGCTTGATCCTTCATAATGAAACATGAGTAGGGAAAGAACATGGTAACAAATGCCATTTACAACCCACATGCTAAGCAAGCACACTATCACTGAGCTATACTCCATAACCCCTTATCTCATACATTTATATTGAAAGCTACTAGTCATCCTTGTTGAGAAAAGATAAAGCCCACTTAAATTTACCTCCAAATTCTTTAAGGCACTAGAGATTATTTTGGCCTAACTAAAAACAAAAAGAAAATATAGGCCTCATATCTTCTGATTCCTTCCTCCAAAGGGGATATTTATAATACTTTCTCATTTGCTTCTTATGCCTGCTTTTAATACTGACTGAATTTGATGACAGAAATAAGTAAAATTCTTTCATTTAGCTTGGAAGAGTTTTAAGGTTCAATTCTCAATTTAAAAAAAAAATTCTTGAAATATTTTTAGGTGTTTGCCCAATTAAAATTTTTATGGCTAAAACACAAGAGATGTGCAACTATTTTACAAGTCTTCAGAACTGTAAGGTATAATTATTTGCTGAATATTCCAAAAATTATACTCAACATCTAAACAAGCAGAGATTGAAAGTTTGACTTTCCTATGCTTTGCAGGTTAAGCACATGCTTGAAAGACAAACACTGTTAGTAAAGCTATGTGCAGTGGGTTAACAGAACTTGTGAAGTCACCATAACCAACACTTCTGCATACAGAGCATGCTTGGGCTGCAAAATGGACCCTGATACCTTTAGTTCTTTAAGCCCCTGCATGTATCTCCCTTCTACATCCTGTATCTGGTCCTTAAGTTCATAGATATCCTGCAGGACATAGGAATGAACCATTGCATAAAACCAGGCACAAACATATCTTAAGTCTTAAAAGAGTCAGATGAAAATATGACTTACTTTTGTACATTCCAAACTAAAAGAAACCAAAGCTATTACCCCAAACCATTAAAGGGGCAAATAGGTTAAATTGATAGTGGGGCTGGTGTAAGGTCTGGAGAAATCAAGCTAATGTTAAATATTTTCTTGGCACTAATTCTACTGAAAACAACATCAGTAAATGGGGGTAGGGCTGTATACAGAAAAAAGGTATATAAATTATAAAATTTTTAATTTAATAAATCACTTAAATAATTTTTAGCCTGCAACTAGTAAAATATAGAGTAAAATCAATTATCAGCAACTTTGATTCATGTGTAAGCTTCAAAAATATTATGAACAAAATTATCTTTCAATGACTTGGTTGCTGACCACAATTAATTTGGGAGAAAGAGAGGGAAGTTAAACATATTTTGAATACAATGTTAAATGAGACATTTTAACCTGATGATACCACATAAATGATAAGAAAAGCATTTGCTCTGAATATTACCACTGTATTATTAAAAAAAACTAAAATAGGCCAAATTTTAAATGGAAAATATTATTTCCCTTGTGCCTGACCCTGTTATATAAGGTCTATTTTGGATACTCAATTCAGGTGGGACATAACTGCCAGAGGGCCCCAAATGCAACTCTGCTATTATAGGCAGGATCAACTGCTAAAGGCCAATCATACATATTTTGGGTATTATGCTTCCCCTGCCCACTTCATTCCCTCCCTGGGAGATTTGTCTTTTACTCATTGATTCATTCAACAAACATTTACTAAGGATCTATCAGAAACCAGGTGCTAGGGCACAAAATCTCATTCCTTCAAGGTGGTCATTTAAAGAGAGAGTTCAGTCTGAGAATGGAAGACCTTATTCTCATGTCCTTTTGTCCCACTAGAATGTAGCATCCAAAGGCAGGAAATTGTCTTATTCAACAATGCACCATCAGCACTCAACATCTTATAAATGGTAAAAGCTCAATAAATACTGATATTTTCAATGCCACAGCTATGCTGGACTGATCAACTCTTCTCCTGTGTCCAGCCCATTTCACAAACCAGACTCCTGTTCCAACCTTACCTACAATCTTACTTGGTCACCACCTGTTCTACCTCCTCCACTGCTGTGTCAGTGGAAGGGACTTTCAGACTAGGCAAGACCATCTGAACCCTGGACTTTGCTCAGCATTTTGCTCTGTCATCCTCTACTCTTCCTCAATCTTCAACCTTACTCTTTACTGGCTCAATCCAATCCATGAAAACAGTAAACACTCCCACTTTTTTTTTTTTTTTTTTTTTTGGTGCTGGGGATGAACCCAAGGCCTTATGCATGCAAGACAAGCACTCTACCAACTGAGCTATATCCCTAGCCCAACACTCCCACTTTTAAAAGAAGGTTAAAACCTTCTCTTAATCTCTTCTTGCCCACCTCCACTTACTGCCCAACAAATTTCCAGCCTCACATATTCACTTCAGATTATGTTTCTTATATTTTCTCCCTTCCATTTTGACTTGCCCATTTGATCTTTATTGTTCAACCACAGGGTTATTATTTTTCTCTATTGTGATGCTTCCTTTGAACTATAGCCAAAGTTATTTTTAATAATTCAAATCAGAGAATATTGGTCCCCTACTTAATATAACAGAATTGTCAGGGGAAAACTGAATTCCTGGGCTGGGGCTATAGCTCAGTGGCAGAACGTTTGCCTTGCATATGTGAAGCACTGGTTCAATCCTCAGCACCACATAAAAATAAACAAATAAAATAAAGGCATGCTAGCTACCCAGGATTACAAAAAAAAAAAAAAAAAAAAAAACTGAATTCTTTTCAGGCTGGCATAGAAGATGCTTTGTGATTGGGCCCTCATTTCTTCCCAGACTTCCCTCTCACCCACCACTGCTTCTTACTTCTCAGTCTATCCTGTGGCAACTTCGCCATAACATTCTGGTCCTCTGCATGCATCTAAGAAAACCCTCCCTCTTCAACTTCTTTGCTTAATTAATATTTATTCTCCCTTCAAACTCTGGCTCAAATTTGTCTTCTCTGAAAAGACTTTTGTTATCTCTTCTCCTAGTCTAATTTAGATGATGCCTTTCTGAATTAACTTAGCCTATTCTTGGTACTACTATAGTATCACACAATCTGGATTTATTGCTTTGAATCAGTTTGTCTTCTCTATGAAACAGTGTGGCCTCTTGAAGGCCAGAATCTGTTTCCTTTCTCCAGGACCAAGTGTTCAATAAATTTTGAATGAAGAAAGGAAGAGAGGAAGGCAATTTCTTTCAGTACCCTTCTCTGTTCCTCACAAATTTCAGATTGAGCAAGTAGACTTTCAAGTATATTTTTTTAAGTTTTCATTTTATAAATTAAAAGGTTAAAAAGACAAGAGACACAACTAATGAGTCAAATAAGTGTTTCATTATCTCATGTATTTTGGTTGTCAAAATATTATTATTACTTCAAATATTATTATGAAAAAAAAGATAACTATATTCAAGTAGCCAAATACTACTACAATGGCTCAAAAGACTAATATTTCCCAGTCTGTTTCTTTGTAAACCCACATATTTTCCATTTAAAATATGGCCAGTTAATTCTGATAGAATTGGTAACAAAGTTGGTTTTTTTTTTTTTTTTTTTTGCATTTGTAGAACTTATTCTAATACCATCAAAATTTCAGGAAAGAGAACAAAAAAAGGAATAATCTGATCTCTTTCCCTGCAGGCTCTGAAATATCCAAGTCAAATTTTTAAACTGTATTATTAATTATTTTTAAGGAATTTATAGTCACTTCTTTCTAATAAGTCACGTTAAATATTAAAAGTTCCAGTACACTACAAAGAAACCAGAAGACTTTTTAAAAAGCAAACCAAAAGTTGCGGTTTACCCGCAATTCACTTAATGAGGTGTCTGGATCTATTAAACTGCTGGTGTCCCCACTTCCTCGTCTGGATGAGTTTCCACTTAGAGGAGTTGTTGCTGAGGCAGAATTTCGAGATGAAGGCTAGAAAGAGAGAAATATGATACTTGAATCTTATTTCTTTAAAAATATATTTGCGGGGCTGGGGATGTGGCTCAAGCGGTAGCGAGCTCGCCTGGCCCGGGTTCGATCCTCAGCACCACATACCAACAAAGATGTGTATCCGTCGATAACTAAAAAATAAATATTTTAAAAATATATATATATATTTGCTATGGAAACTAAAAATGGAGTGGTAGAGGGTGGTAGAAGCAGATGTGCACTTCAGATGGATATACTAAAACAGTGTAGTCAGGAAGTTACCAAGTACCATCACAATGGGCAATTTAAGTTGTTCTGGGAGAGAGCCATCAGAGAAGGGTACAGGCCTACTAAGCATAATTTTCTTAACTCAAACACCTTATTAGAATCTAGAATTAAATAACCAAGAAGGAAATTGTTTTTAATGGGAGGTGGTTCTTTTCTTCCTCCTTCTTTCCTCTCACAATCTTTTTTGTGCCTCTACCACCAAGCTACATCCACCCTCAACCTAGTTTGTTTATTCTCAAAGTTAATCATTGCTATATTCAAATAGCACTCAGGTGATCACAATATACTAATTTAAGGCAGTTTTAGAACTTTATAACTGATATGCTAATTGGCACTTCCCCTATTTAGTTCCTAAAACTGCTTTAAGAATCTCTTCTTTTTCTAATACTTTGCTGATAAAGACAGAGATTCTATTTGCAGCTGAAAGCAACAACACTGCCTATCAATAGGAATTCAGATTACTCTTTCCAAAATTAATTTCATGTGAGTATGCTGATTAATAAACGATATAGATCTGTGTTGTCCAATATGCTAGCTACTAGCCACATGTGGCTTTTGAGCATTTGAAATGTGGTTAGACCAAACTGAGATTAAATATAAAATATATACCAGATTTCAAAAGCTTTGTGTGGAAAAAAGGAAGAAGTATATGTATCATTAATTTTTCACATTGACTCTATGTTGAAATATTTTGGATATTTGTATTAAATATAACATAACTTTGCCTCTTTTAATTTTTTAATGTGACTACAAGAAAATTTAGACTAATGTATATACTTAAAACAGTGGCTTACATTGTATGTCTACTGGACAAAGCTGATATAACTTTCTTGGATATAATATAAAATTATTCCTAAAAAGTGATTTCCTTAACCAACTTTCTAAAGCTACTTTTAGAAGAAAAGTTAAAGTTAGAAACTAACACAAAAAAGTTACTTTATTTAAGGAAATAACTTATGTATAAAGAAATCAAATCCTCAGTTTGTCACCACCACTCCTAAGCACATTTCAATTCCAGTGTTCAATGGCTTCTCAGGATAAATTTCTAGAGGAATGAAAACCAAAAGAACAACCAAAAGCTAAAGAGGTGACATTCAATGAAATAAAATGCAGTCTTTTCTCTTCCCAGGGTTTCACATGATTTAACTAAAGAGGAATTCTGAGGGGTCAAGGACAGGAAATAGATGAAGGGAGCAAGAGTAGCTCCATCAGGCCAATTGTAGTAAAATAATGAACAAGTCATAGAAAAGTTTAATTGACCTTGAGAACATAATTCCCTTAGGAATTTATATACTCACCCTTGTATAATTTTCAGCATACTGTTTGTCAGATTTTTCATCCAACTATAAAAGAACAGAGATAAAAATCAGAAAAGATGCTTAGTATGTTGATTTTTCTTTTAGGAGCCAAAAAGAAGTGATCTCATTTGAGTTTCCCAAGTTCAGTGATGTTTAAAACCTAAAAGTAAATATACTAAAACCAATATAAAAGTTAAGACATATAAGACAAAATGTCAAGAACTTTATTTCTTATCCTAAGAAAGACATGCATTAAGCAAGCAATATTCATTAAAAGGATAGATTTTGGATAGATTTTCTTTTCATGGTATTTAAAATGCATTAAAGAAAACTACATATAAAATTAAGTTTTTAGTACTGCAAATGTTAATACAAAAAGTGTATACATATCAAAAGAAAAGTCCTGATAAACCAAAAGCCAAAAAAAATATTTCTAAACATTATTAAGACACAAATAGATAAGACTAGTATACTTAGCCAAAGTAGTTCAGATTGAACTAAAGCACATTAAATATAATCAAATATTTTTTCCTCACATCATTAAGAATGTTTTTGTTCTGTTTTGAGTAATATTTGCATACATGGCCAAAGAAAATGGGGATGGTGATATCAGAAATAGGTCTTTCTCCCTAACATACCATATTCTGACCTCCAATCACCAACGGCAACCAATCCGTAAATCATTAAAAATTCTGATACTAGTGTTCCAGATATATTCTGTTTCTTCTATTCCCTTACCAAATTCTCAATGTTTTGAGAAAGTATTTCATTTTTCTTCATAACATTTATCACTCTGATACTATATTTATTCACTTACTTAGGGTCTGATCTCTCCACAGAAGTCCTGTTTTTCTCTGTATACCTAGTACCAATAATAACATCTAATATATAGTATTTAGTATAAAATTTGTTGGATATATGAATAAGTACATCCTATACTCCATCTGTACTTATATATTTATTTACCTCATTTATTTGAACAGCTTTATAGTAGTCTGTTATCGTGATATATCATAAGTGAATCAACCCATCTCTGCTGAAAGGCTTTGGAGCTGTTTTGGACAATGTTTCAAGAAGGGAAGAACCTCAAAGTTCTAGTCTAAATTTCTGATTTTAGAGCTAAGGGAGAAAATTCAGAGGTGAAAGATTTTGCTAAAGGTTGAACAATTACTAAATATCAGAGTTGGGTCCAAACCTCAGTTTTATGAAATCGAGTATTCATGTTATTTACTTGCATATACTATCCCAATTACCACTAGGGGGAAAAGGCACATAAGGGTTTAACTAAAGAAACATAAAATATACCCAGACTCCAAACCCTACATCAGCCTTCCCAGTCCAAACTAGAGAAGAAATCTGAAAACCTTCATCAGTTAATTATTAAAATACAAAACATTATTATTACTGGTTCTACTCAGAACACTTTAACTTCCTCATATTTTTTTAAAAAGTTTTTCGTCTTCTTTTTATTACTCACATTCATCATGTTTATAAACACCTTTTATTATAACAGTAACTAAAATATTAGACATTTAACTCTGTTACTTCTTGCTTCATTACTCTTGCTTCATTACTTTTATATATTTAAAAACAATATATAAAATGTTTTGCAACAAACAAGTAATAACAGTAAGCAAAAGTTGTTTTTAAATATTGTCAATTATTGCCTTAAAAGGTAATAGTCCTTCCTCAAATCTGTACTAGTAAAATGCACTGCCTGATATTTAACGAGTTATTCTTCAAGGAAAAAGAATTATTATATCTGAATAAACTGCCTTATTTTTCTCAGAGTGTTTTCGAACTCATTTCTGCTAACAAGCTAAGGAGAAAAGCAAGAAATATTCAAAATAAAAATATTCTTCTAAGTCTATTTAAATCCTTCTTCCTATTTGCTGTTTACAAAAATTACCCCCCAAACTCACCCATTTTGTAGCAGAACATCACCCTGGAATAATTTTAGATTTCAGAAGTTGGCATCACCAAACTGGGCCATCACAACATTGAATCTTATCACTTTCTCTATCTTCTGACAGATCCCAACTGTCTCAACTCAAAAAGAGATCATGCGCCAAACCTCAGGGATTGTTAAACCAGCAAAAAATGCCCAGAGCAGTCATGCTGCAGTCCAGTTATTGTGGCTGCAGTGACTTGGCCAGAGATGCTTTGGCTCTCACTTCTGAGACTTTTACTGTAAAGCTAGGTGAAATCTGGTATTCTAAAGCCCCAGGGGATTCAATAGCCAGGATGTCTAACTAGCAGCAGTGCAATGACAAGTTAATATTTATAATGAGACCCAAAGAGTCTGCCAAGATCCTGACAAAGCTTTTCAAGTTTAATAAAATGTAATGATATTTAAGGTATAAAACTATAATCTACAAAGGTATTCATAGTGTAATTTGTTAAATGTAGTCAGTAGATCAGAATCCTCTGTTTAGTGTGTGTGTGTGTGTGTGTGTGTGTGTATAAAACCTGTTTATATATATTTAAATATGTATATTTACATATACAGATTAAGTATCCCTTCTTTGAAATGTTTAAATGTTAAGATTTTGGATTTTTTCAGATTTTAGAATATTGGTATATACATAATGAGATATGTTGGGCACGGGATCCAGTCTGAATATGAAATTCACTTATTGTTCATGTACACCTTATATACATAGACTGAAGATGATTCTACACTTTATTTTTAGTGTGCCAGAGTACTGACTGTGACCTCTCACAAAGTCAAGAGTGGGATTCTTCATTTGTGGCACTATTTTGGTTCTCCAAAAATGTCAGTTTTTGGAGAATTTCTGATTTCTGATTTTTTGGATTAGAGATGCTCAACCTGTACTGGCTTGTTATTGCTATTCAAATATTGTTTGAAAAAAGAAAAAACAAAATGGAAGATCTGATTCCCCAGCCAAAGAAGGGAAGAAAACAATCATTTTTAATAAGTTCCTAAAGCAAAACTGGATGACAATTCCAATCAGAAGTGGATTTAATTATTAGCAATCATCAAAATTTTAGTTAGCACACTTACATTATTTTCCTTTATTCCAGTTAAACCTTTAGAACAAAAATGAAGCCAATAAAGAAAAAAAAAATGACATAGAGCTAAGGTGACCATAAATAGTACACAGACTTGCAGAATCAGGACCTGACTTTCAACACCTCTTAGCTCAGAAGTTACAAAACTATTAGCTATAAAAACATATTTGGTACACACAATGGAGCAGTCAGAAAGTATCTTCTAGGGGCTGGGGCCATGGCTCAGCGGTAGAGCGCTCGCCTAGCATGTGCGAGGCCCTAGGTTTGATCTTCAGCACCACATAAAAATAAATAAAGTAAAGGTATTGTGTCCATCTATAACTAAAAAAGAGAAATAAATATTTTTAAAAGTATCTTCTAAAAATTTGAATTTATTGTCAGCATTTTAAAATCAGAATATTTCACAGTGAAATTGCAGATTTCCAACTTATCTTTAAAAATGGGTGAGGGGCCTACCAATATCAAGTCAGCCTTTTATTTGTCTACAATGAAGTGAATCATAGCACGCTCTGTGAAATAAATACTATTAGGAAAAATTACTTGCTCTAGATGGAGAAACAGCAAATGTTTTAGGCTTTTCCAAGAGACAAAATTAAAAATATCACATAAGTCCTTATATAGTCATTAATAAAAGCCAGTGAACTGAAGCCTGTAAAATAACAAGATTTGCAAGCTCTACTCTAAGACATTTTTTTTTCCCTTCATTAAAGAGTTACATGTAATTGGTAGAGATAGGGAGAGATTTAAATAACTGTCAACTTTTTCATTTCTATGTAATTACTAAGTAAATTTCCAAGAAATAAATGTAAGAAGGACATAACCATTAACTCAGACACTCTAAATTGAAGAATGACAGAAACAAAATCTGTATGAGAACAAGTATACAAAATAAATGTAACTGTCCATATCTAGGCGGGAGGGAGGGGGAAGAGGCTACTAAGCAAATTAATATTTTAGAATGACTTGGGAGGTAATCATCTAATTTTATATGTAGAGAGAGTCCTTGATTCAACCCACAGCAAGCTGATACTATTGCATAGGCAGGTTTGAAAGTCAACAATCAGGAATATTTAAAAGGCCACACTTGAAATTATTTTCTAGGATTAAAATAGTTCAGAAATAGCTATTTGAAATAATCCCTGAATTGCTAATTATAATTAGACATTAGAAAACTAATGTCTAACTTTTCTAGAAGGAAATGCTGCCATTCATCCCCTCCAAAGTGCTTGACAATCAGGACAGCACTGGTCAGTGGGCAAAACAACACTAATACCAGCAACAAAGGGCAAATGTCACAAAGATGAGATCAGCAGGTAGATCCTAATCTGATGGTTAGAGCTCCTTTAATAAGACAAATGACCCAAGTTATCTCTGCTGGACAGTCTTTCCTTAATTCAGTTCCTAATGAATGTGAAAACAATGGATAGACACATTTCTTCAAAACAACACCATAATCTACATGTTTAAAATCTATTCAGATTCATGGGGCTGGGGATATAGTTTAATTGGTAAAGTGCTTGCCTCACATGCACAAGGCCCTGGATTCAACCCTAGCACTAAGGGGGAAAAAAAAAATCTATTCAGATTCTTCCCAGTTGTTATCAACTAATGACATTTTACTAAGTAGTATACTTTCTTATTCAAGTTTTAAGTCTACTTATCACTTTATAGATTCAGCAAAGCCAAAAGGGGAAATTTTAAAAAAAATTTTTTACATTGAGATAGTCACAAAGTTGCCCAGGCTGGCACTGAATTTTCAATCGTTCTGCCTTAGCCTCCCAAGTCTCTAGGATTACAGGCACGCGCCCATACTTCAAAAAGGGGGGAAATTTGCAAGATCAATCAGGAATATCTGGATATAGGGTAAGAATTTGATGGCATTAAGGAATTGCTTTTTTATTTCATTAGGTATGATAATGGTATAGTAGATCTGAAAAGATTTTGAATTAATGAAAAATGACAAAATGTGTAGAATTTGCTCTAAAATAATTCAGAAAAAAAAGTAAAAAGAGTAAAAAACAGATGAGACAAATTGGCAAAATAGGGATAATTGCCTGAAGCTCCTGATGAGTTCTATGAGCAAAAATAATCACAGGAAAAATAATTTATTAAAAAGGACATAATAATAAATATAGTCCAAAACAAATAGCTATAGTTTATGTTAGTAGATTCAAATAAATATTTCCTAGGCAGTAAATTAAAGTTCCTAATTTTTAAAAAGTTACCATATTAACTGTTAGTCACAAGTGTAAGACAGAATCATTGTGACATGCGATACACTCACACTGGTCAATACACTCACACTGGTCGTATCTGGAAGACTGATGTTATCAACCTCAGAGACAACACTTCCCCTACGATTGGAGCGACTAAAATAATCAGCAGCAGAAACCTTTCAGTCAGAAAAAAAATGAGATGCTTTAAAAGTTAAGAAAAGAGAGAAGAAAAAGATAAAAACATTAGCCAATAAGGAGAAAGTTTGTTTAAATTTTGGTGTGTGATAAAATACCATGAATTGAAATAAGAAAATTTCACAATACTCAAAAAAGTAAAAAGAAAAGAGAAGGGGTTCCTAAGTGGAATCACAGTTCCCTAAAATAAACTATTTTATTCATTTTAACTTGAATTCTATACTATAGATTAAGACATCTGTTACCATCAACAAGGGGTCTCTAGAACACTATTGAAAGCCTTTACTGTATTTCACAAAATTTATAATTCATTATAATACTCACTCTGTTGAGTACATATATGTTGAATACTAAAGTATTTTCAAGGTGCTTGCCAAAAATTTGACTCAATTTCCACAATACTCTTTCTCGTATTCCCCACGCCAGGGATTATAGGACACAATAATGAAGGAAGGGAATCACACTGGTTTTTTTGGGTCCCTCAAATTCACCAAGTTCTTTCCCATATAAATCCTCAGCACTGGCCTAGAAAGTTCTTCTCCCAGCCCACTGAGCAGCTGACTTGTCCAATTTCAGGTGTCAGCTCAGAAGTCACTTCCTCGAGAGCTTTCTCTTACCACTCCATCCAAAGAACTACTCACATACAAACGCACACTTGTATGTTCCCTATCATATTGCCTGCTTTTTCTCTTTATAGTCGCTATAATTTCTTTTCTTTTTGTTCCTTTCTTAACAGCTTATTTCCTAATTTTTTTCACTAGCACATAAACTCCAATCATGTCAGAGACTGACAACATCATTTGTAGCACTTAACACACTGCCTCAAATTCAAAAGATACTCCATTAACACTGAATTAATAATTTTTAACCTTGATCAGCTATTTCTTACCTCAGCTGACCATTTACCTTGCTTTAAAACTATTCTCCTTAAAGGAATTCAGAAGCCCAATCACAGAGACAAAACAGGCTTAACGGTATAAAGTTTTTCTAAGGATTAATACAATTAAGCAATGCTATTTTTATTCAAAACAATAGCATACTTGGACTTACATGTAGTAATTATCTGCACCTACTATTTCAGAATCTTAATAGGTATCTTCCACCTTGTCATTCATTTAATCCATATTAAGCCTGACTACAAAGATAGCCATTAACATCTCCATTGTAAATATTAAAAAACTGCTATCGGCACAACTATTAAGTAGCGGAAATGCATATGAGACCAAGCATCATTACATCAAAGCCCCTGCCCTTTCCACTCCATTGCCTTCTGAGGTGCTTTCAGATGTTTCAGTTTCTTGTTTCTCCTTTAGCTGTACACATGAGCATTAATTAATTGGCTAAGGTATCACAACTACTTTAATTAGGTAAATCAAATTTTGGCAACAAGTCTCAAAAACATTTGGTGTTCCCTTTCTTTAGGAAAACTTTGGATTTATAATCTTTCACATAACATACTTGCATTAAATGCCCTTGGTTTTTTTCTAAAGAAATCACAGCTTCCTAGGGCTCTTTATTCTAGCTCCAAGCTAACACACATCCTCAACAATATAATTTCCAAATCAGTTCCTTAAATATCACAAAAATGTCATTAATTCTATAAATTTTCCTGCTTCATAAAATAACCTTCAACTATATCATTTGTATTCTAAAACAGATATCTGTTGCCTCTACAATTAATAATTAGTTGAATGTGTCAGACAAGAATTTTTAAAATTTGTAGTATTGGTAACTTTAAAAAGGTCTATTCATAGTCTCAAGAGCACACATTATTTGGCAAATTATTCATACAAACTAAATTTAAGGAAAATGTTCTTTCTGTCAAATGCAAATTTTACCAATAGATTTCATGTGATCACACACATGAAATTTTAAAATTCATTATATTTGTTTGCATGCAAACCATGCTCACCACACTCTCCCTTCGCCCATGACTGGCACGATCAGAAGATAGAGAAGATACAATGCTCGCGGTGTCATCGTTGACCAGCTATAGATATTAAATGCAGATAATTAAAAAGATTGAGTTTCACTACAGGTCTTACCTGATTGTAAGCATGATAGGGAAGGTTTGAGAAGCATACAAACACTCCATATAATTGGCACAATCTGTTGTGTGTCATTAAATAGAAAAGCTATTGCAAAGCGTAATGAACTATCATTAAAAATCAAAAGCTATTTCCAAAAAGCATAAAAAATAAAGCAGAATTTTATACTGAAATTAAACAAAGTGGAAGACATGAGTAAAAGCCAAAACTAGCTAGGGACTTCATGCTTTTTAAACCTCCAGATCCTTTGGGATCCTATCATGGAACCAATAAATATATTCAATGTTTTAGTTTGAGAAAGGGGAAAAAAATTTCAACATTCAATAATATGTATCAAAGACAGAATTTCCTACCAGCAAGGACACTGAAGTGATGAATCGTTTTTCCTTTTATTCATCCCTATGTAATTTGTAGAGATATATCTAATATTACCCTACATGGATGGGGCAATCTTCTTCCTGCTTCCCCATTCTGACATCACTAAGAAACCTTTCTGGCATCACAAAGTAACTCTGAATCCAAGTTGCAAATGAAACAGGATACAGCCAGCTCACAAGGGCAAGGTCCCACACTTGACTGAAACTACATTATCAAGTTCTATTTGCAAGGTGCCACCAGTCCTGGAACATTAAAAAAATGTTACCAGGCCCAAATATTGACAAGTAGAATTTTATTACTAAATGGGTTAAAAATAAACTTCCTCCTTATGTGAAAAGTCTTTATATCCTTAAACATCTGAGTATAATTTTTTATAAATATAGAAATGGCATTTTTGAGAACTGCCACTTGGACATGGCAGAAATGAGCCAAAGATAATTTTAAAAGAAAGTCCACAGAGCTCATCTATTCCATTCCACAAAGTAAATCTTTGATGATAATAAACTGATTAAATAATTTCCCCATTATTTAACATTATTGAGAATAATAAGGTAGATTCTAAAGTCATCATTTATCTTTGGGAATGTGAATGAATATAGCCTTTTATTGACAATATGGTAATATGCATCATAATTAAAAGCATATACTCTTTAATCCTATTATTTCATGATGTGCAGATTACCTTGAAGATCCATTCATAGAAGTACTTAATAATATAAATGGATAAATGTATATTTATTGATAGCACATTTATTTACATGTATTATATAAAGTGTACATAGCACATTTATTTACATGTACTATATATAGTGTACACAGAAGTCCACAATAATACACACAGATAAGTATATGTACAGTTCATTATAAAAGTGTTATAGGAGCAAAAATCTGACAACCTTAATTGCCTATGAATAGGGAATGATTTTTAAAATGTATACCTATGCATTAATGGAATAAAACTGCCATTAAAAATAATATGCTAATATGAAACTATCTCTAAGAGGCATTAAGTGAAACAAGTAAGGGACATGGCTTACTTGTTAAAAAAATTTAATGTCAAAAAAGAGTGAAATAAATCTCTATGTTCTGATATAGAAAGATACTTTAGAGAAAATGTCAAGGAGCAGTATGTGGTATATAGGAATTTATTTGTGTTCAAAATAAAAAGCACTCATATGTGCAGAAAATACCCTGAAAGGTATTATAAAAACAGAGGCTCCTTTTGGGTATTGGAAATGGGGAGGAAAGGACCTGGGGAATTTTACTTCAGACTTTCCTTAACTGATATTATTTTTGTAAAGTTTGATATTCCACAAAGACTAGGTAACTAGATTTATTCCAGTTTTATTTTCCATAAATATATGAAAAATTATATATATATTGGCCTGTTTTATTTCTTTTCCTTCCCCTCTACTTACAAAAGTGCTGGTGAGCAAGTGAAATGGCACAAGACAGAAGTTCAGATAGAAATGAAAAACAAAAGGTAGCCAACCAAACACTGAATTATCCCCACTTAGAAGATAAGAAGTTTCACAGAAATGAGAAATACACAATCTTAAAATTTTCTTAATGACCATGATTCAAGACTCACTTGAGAAATTATGTGCTAAGGAGAAATTAGTGCTTCATTTTGTGCAGTGAGGGAGCATCATAATTCATGCTCAAAGCAGTGAAACACACCACATTCTTAATATTCTAAACTGTGAATGCAGGTTAACGAAACAACCAAAAGTTTTTATAAAACATGCAAAGAAACTAGACAGCTCACCACAGGACTGCTTCGGGCTGAACTTGTTCTTGATGAGTAAGAACTGTATTCAGATGGCTATAAAGTTTCCAAGAAGAAAGGTTTTATAATAATGATCTGGTCCTATTTCTGCTGAGAATACATTAATGGCCCTAGACCTAACTTTACCATGATCCCCAAGGAAAAAGGTAACTATTACTCTCTGGTCTAAAACAAACAGCCCATAGAAAGAGAGAGAGGAGAGAAAGGGGATGCCCTGAGAAGTGCTGCTCAGAACTTCAGGAAGAATTTATGAGCAAGAAAAGGGGTTTCCCTACTTATTTCCCTCATATTTCAAGTCATGACTGCTAGCAGGCACCTTCTCACAGCGTGGGTGAGAGTCACGACTGGCTAACTAAGTGATCACAGCTTGTTAAGTAATTACAGGTCAGATTGAGTGACTTTTTCTTTGTAAGTCAATAGTACCCTCCTACATCTCCCTGCTCTTCACGACTTCCCCATTTAGACTTACAGTTCGAGAACTATAAGGGTTATATAATCCACCATCGTAGAATGATGCCTAAAGAACAAAAGAAATACCATTTACCTATTGTACATCAAAGTTATTTTGAAAATGTCTTAACTTTTTTTTTTGAGCACTCAGTTCCCAAAAAAGTTTTAAAAAATGACATAAGGGTATAACTTTCCCAAGTAAAGACTCTAAAGGCTACCAAAACATTCATTGATATATATACAACAATCTCATAACTTTAAATTTGTACTTCATTAAAAAAAAAACACCGACTTTAGCATTTTCTTTCATCATCATATAATAAAACTAGAAGAACCAATATTTAGTTATTTATTCTCTCTAAAGAGGAAATAGAGCAGAAAAGGGAAATGAAGTACAGAGAACATTTTGCCCACTATCACAATAAAATTAAGTTTTCCCAGTCCACTAGCATAGGCCATGACACAACAAACCACAGCTTAAAAGCCACCAACCAACAATTCACATATTACAGAGAGCTACTGCTTTTGTTTTTCTAGCCAGCTTGCTTTATCAGATCCTAGATTAATATGGCAAAGGTTGTAGCTGTTCAAACTAAAATATGACATCCCTTGCATAGGCAGCCATCTCACACTGTGAGTACATGGAACCCATGCAAATCTATCTTCTCAGTAGGAAATGGATTCTAAAATAGACTACCAACTATCAGCAGTACCTACTTCTGTGAAGGGAATATGCTTATTTTTAATGCCCTACAGTTTTGTACTTTAAACACAGGCAGCACATTATGCAGTACACATGTCATTAAAGCCATGTGTTCTGATTATTTTGGAGGAAGGCTATCAAGCCACAGAGTTAGCCCATGCCAGCTGCCCCACCAGCACTGCACACACTGGAATAAGAAAATACCAACCAGGCTGGCACTTCTCAGCAGACCAGAATTTGCAGTAGGGGAGGCCTATGAAAAAAGTGCATTATTAAACCCAAAGAAAAGCTACTGGTAACTTGCAGGTGACACACTCCCCCAATAGTACTAACCCTGTGACTCTTAGATGTTGCCAGAGGGTCACTGCATAGGGAAGAAGACTGTTGAGAAAGAAAGACAAAATAGATAAACAAAAACAAAAACAAACTGGTCCCACCATTATGAAAGCAAAAGACTTCAGTTTATGATTTTATACTCCATAATTCATTAGTGATTCCTGAGTGGTTAGGGTAGTTTAGGAACACATGAAGTAAAAAAACTTTAGTCATTAGAAATCTTCTTGAACACCACTGTAAATGATAAGAAAGAAAAACACTTGGACCAGTCTTTTATAAATGTGTCTATGTCTTTTAAACACTATTGTTAGGATATGAGATAGGAATCTAAGGAACCATTGAGAAACAGAGAGCACTGCAAGCAGTAACCACATCCGGTCATTAGCAGCTCCTGTGATATTTTCAGTGATTTCATAACAAGACTCCTAATGAGCTTAGGCTGTTTTGCAAGGAAGCAGATAAATGAGTTTTGAGTTATCACTACACGCATTCTTTTTCAAATACATTAGAGAACCTATATTTCAAAACATGCTGTGGACAAAGTGCCTTAGTTTAATCAGCTATAAATTATACCAGTCAACAATGAATCCATGCACTACAAGGGCATAATATTTTTTTTTAAAGGAACTAAATCTCTCTTTTCTGATGTCATCTGAGGATACAAGTTCTCAGTTCTTTTCACCAAAACCAATGAGACGTAAAAAACAAGAGCATTGAAGTTTTGTGTGCAGGTTTATAAATTATTCTTTTTCTAGTACTGACTTGCACACACTAAGCAAGCTCTCTACCACTGAACTAGACCCTCAGCCCTGAATTATTTTCAATGTACTGTGTGTCACATATTTAACATGTTTCAAATGTGTGATCTGTTAAATACATTGGAAAAAAAAAAAGATTCTAACACTGGAAACCTAATTACATTCTTCTCATCTCGTGTAATTTATTCTTTCACATGCAAACTTTACTAAAAGGGCACCCATTGTGAAGCACATTGATGCCTACAACTTATTTTGAAATGCTTCAAAAAATAAGATGAATCAATGGATGGATACAGGAATGGAGAAATAAATAATTATGTGATAAAGGAAATATAATAAATTTTATAATCTAAGTGACAGGTATGGGATGTTTACTATATAATTCTTTGAACTTTTTGTACATTTAAAATTTTCACTTAAAATTTTTTTTTTGGGGGGAAAATGGAACTGATTTATAAACAGGGTGATTCAATAATCCCCACTGTTTGAAAGCACACTCACATGGACTACATGAAGTCAGTTATCCAAAAATGGATTCAAACACAGTCATTCCCAGATTAGTTACAACTAGTCAAAATGCAAATGAGGAATTAGAAAGTTAAAAGTGGATTTACAAGAAGCCAAAAAACTTTAGACAGACCCGAGTGTAGTAAGCAGAGGTGGGTTTACTATGTCTAAGACTGCTATAGTTTCTCTGATCAAAGTAGAGGCCACTCTGAAAAAAGCAAAATGAAAAACATTTTTCTTAGATTAAATGCTGTTGACCAAACAACACACAAAGGCAAAACCTGACATTGCCAACTTCCTTCTCCAAAACAATGTCTTTAAAGCATTGGATCATGCTAAAAAAAGTCAAAGCAATAATTATTTCAAGTCTCTCAAAAGAGATTGGTATTAGGGCTGGAGTTGTGGCTCAGTGGTAGAGCATTTGCCCAGCATGTGTAGGCATTGGGTTCAATTCTCAGCACTGCATACAAATAAATGAATAAAATAAAGGTGCATCAACATGTAAAAAATATATATATATAAAAAGAGATTGGTATTAAAACATAACTATTTTCAAACTAAGTCATTACTAATTTTTTTTTTGAGAGAGAGAGAGAATTTTTTTAATATTTATTTTTTAGTTTTCGGGGAACATAACATCTTTGTTTGTATGTGGTACTGAGGATTGAACCTGGGCCGCACGCATGCCAGGCGAGCGCGCTACCGCTTGAGCCACATCCCCAGCCCCATTACTAATTTTTATTACTTTAAAAAACAAGAACTACCTCCAAAAAAAATGAAATAAAAATAAGCGATTTATTCTCATGTCATACTTAACAACGTCCTTGAAAACCTAGGACAACTGAATAATTAGCACTTTATAATCCATTTGGCAAAGCCACAGAAATGATTAAAGAGTTATTTGGTTCCAAACTTTTCCTCATCCCATTATTTGTCAAAATAAATTGATCAAATTAAATTACAAGAAAGAGAGTGCAATATGGTTTGGCCTAAAACATCAATGGCAAATTCATTTTTAATACACTATACAATAGTTTTATACAACACAGTTACTTGAGAAGAGAAATCATCTATAAAATTTCCTTTAGTCATCTTTTTTACTCAAGGTTGAGAAAATATATGCAATCTCTGACTTAAACGACTTCCCTCTCTACTGTTGACACTGCAATCAGGGATATCCCTACTCTCACCCAAACCCTACCCCTCCTACCCAGGCTTTCCTGCACCACTCCCAACTCACACCCCCAAGGAAGTGCCATCGCTCACCTCTCCCCAGAGCTCCCGATACCCCACCATCCAAGGCCTCTCTTAAATCTCTCATCCATTACATTCTCACTCCCACTAGACAAAGCCAGCCACCACTTCCCCATGGTAACCCTAAAATAGCAGGGAGCTTGGGAACTGTGCTTCTTTTACCAGTACTACATCAGCAAAACAGGAAAAAGGCATTCCTAGTGTCTCAGGTGGGCATTCTGAAGATGATTCCCCACTAAACTAGATATTTAGCAAAGGTGGCTAGCATGGAAAAAAAGGTAGTTTGCAGCTTAGTTACATTACAGGTTAAGAAGTTTTCTGTGAATTAGGGAAACTGTCATTACATACTTTATTGTTTCCACCAGAAAATGCATTCCAAGTTTCAAAACAAAACAAATTTTCATAATGAAACCTACCATAATTCCATAATCAAATCAATTATAAGTTCTAAAATAAGGATGAAAAACCTCACTATTCTTGAGGTATACTTCAAAAGATAATTAATAAATGAAAACACCTCATTCATTAGCTTCTTGTGATACCTTACTAACCTAATTCTAGCCCCAAAGGTTGGCATATGCTAATCCGATATTAAATCTTACAAGTAAAAACAAAATCACTTCAAAAGTTTCTGATAAATCATCTTTCAGCATATTTTCAAGTTCCAATTATGCCTTAAGGGCACACCAAAACAAAACCAAAAACACCAAAGCAGTCATAATTCTTACTTAATCAGTAAATTACAATATGTGACTCAACAGAACTAACCAGGGGGTCTTTATGAAAATGAGAAGATCGCTTCTTCATTCCATAAGAGTGACTGTAAGAATTATTCTGGAAGTAAATATTTTAAGTTAATGTCAATGATCACACAGTCAAGTTTTTTAAACAATTTTTAAAAATTTGTCTTAAAATTATATGAGATACATAGTAGTAGTATCCATGCAATCCATTTCCCATCCATTAATAAATGATTCATTGCACTTGGCATGGCTAAGATACCTGGCCTCTCTACACATCTACATCCACCCTCACTTTCCAGCATCCAGCTTAGTGTCTAGTCAGCTATAAAAAACTTGATTAGGGCTTAGAGCTAGTCAGGATGATGGTGGGTACCTTTACCCCACATCTCAATTGAGTCCCTTCATCTTCTTTATAAAAGTATAGACAACAAAAGACTACAACTCCTTCTATAGTCCTCTTTCCTAAAGCCAAAAGCAATCCTTTATATAAACCAAAACAAATTGAAAAACAAACGATGTAACATTTCACTGCCCAGGACAATACTCATTAACTCAGTTAGTGGTCCTATAGCATGTACTGCTCAGGAGGAATAAAGCCAAAATGGTACAGACTGCCCAAAGTAGCAGCAGCATTACTAAATGATCACATTATACAAGGATCCTCAGAAATGAAGGCTGTTTTAATATATAACTTCTCCAAGAAGCATAGAGCCAAGTGTAGAGAGGGAAATACTAAGAAGTCTACTGGCAGACAAAGAAATCCAATACAGGGGGCCAGGCACAGTGGTGTATGCCCATAATCCCAGCAACTCAGGAGGCTACTAAGGCAGGGGATTACAATTTCAAGGTCAGCCTGGGCCAGACTATCTAAAAATAAAATAAATTAAAAAAAGTCTGGGGATGTAGTTCAGGGTTGAGCACTCCTGAGTTCAAGTCCCAGTGCCTAAAAAAAAAATGTATATGTGTGTGTATATATAAAGAGATACATATACATACATAAATGTACATATATAAATATATACATAAAATAAATATATATAAATATATAGGTATGTAAAGTGTGTCTATCAACAGCCAACAACTATATAACTATAAATAGCAAATAAAAAATAAAATGAAGATATTGTGTCCAACAACTAAAAAATATATATTAAAAAATTAAAATTAAAAAAGTCAACAGACTGCTCTAGAAAAACTATTTGACATGCACAGCTAGATCCTGAATCAATAATTATAAACCCAGTTTTCTTTCATTATTGAACATGCACCATTCCTTCTATACATTAGTGTGACTATTTTAAGAGATGTCTAGGTATCTAGAAACTCGAGCAACCTGCTTACCTAATATTAACCCCAGGAAATATTAACTGTTTAACTAATATGACATTACCAAAACAAGCCAAAATGCCTGAACATCATTAATGCCTAAAATATCATCTATCACTGCTGGATACTTTCTATTCACCAACCTCATGCCCCATAGCTCGTGACACATAACATGAAACAGGCCTGGGGAGCAGAATGTGAATCAAACACTCTTAGAATCATGTCCTCCAGGGCAATGAGTGTTATTAAGGGAGTGGTTCACTATTTTAAGAAATATTACTACTACCAATCTTAATCTTGAATAGGGAATCAAAACATTTTTATATATACTAGAAATTCTAAAGAAAAAATATCACTATTTACATAATAAATTATGCCACCATTACAATAATTTTTGCTTGTTAATCACACATTTTCCCCAGAAAATCATAAGAAAACCATGAAAGTTAGTCATAATCTATGTTTACTAATAATTGGTATTTATGAAGCAAAACTCCACACTTAACACAAAGTCATGCACTACATACTAATGATGAAAGTCTTGATGATCTATCCTTGAGAGTATCATACTTGATTTCAGGAAAAGATGAAAGAATGGTTGTATTTCCAAAGTAAAGAATATAAAAAAGAAGGTGGGGGAAAAGTAACATTTTCAGGTTAAAATCCAGCATTATTTTAAAGACAAAAAAAAAAAATCATCAAATACAAAAGCTATTACATTTGAATTAAAGAATTCTCTTCCCCTTAATCTTTCCTAGTATAAATTATTGCTGAACTGTATGTGTAATTACAAATGTATGTTCAAAGATGGGCATAGTGGATCACATTTATAGTCCCAGCTATGCAGGAGGCTCAATAAAGGAATGCTTCCGATAAAGGAATGCTTACGCCCAGGAGTTCAAGGCCAGCCTGGGCAATAGAGCAATTATCTTAAAATCCCCACCTCTTAAAAACTATCAATAAGAAACAATTTATTTTTCTTTCAAATATCAAATTCATAATCAGTAATGGTGAGATGATTCAATCTCAGTATATTATAACACAAAACCTAAGGGAGCCTTCAAAAGTAAGGATTGCATATACTGAAGTCAATGATACTTTTAGTTACATGACTATTACTATCACTTCCCACTATTTGAAAAATGGCAAAAGCAGGGAATGAACAGGCAATGAGGCAAGACCAGGCTTACAAAAGAACCACTGCAGCAACAAAATGCAGAGCATTCCCTTGGATCTACTCTAAACACACACCTGATAAACTTCCTTCCTCAAAAAAATGCTAAACAATGTGAGAAACTTGGTCATAGCAAAATATGGAATGCACAGAATACAATACAAATGTGACATTAAATATAAATCAAAGAAAATATGCAAAATTCATGATAAAACCCACAAAATCCACAATTAATCTAGGGTCCTGTAAAAAAGTAAGGGTTGAGGAAGTAACTTAATGGTAGAGTGCTTGCCAAACTACACGCAAAACACTGGGTTCAATCCTCAGCATTACACAAAATAAATAAATAAATGTTTAAAAAAAATAAAAACCACAAATATAAAAATAAGATAGTATGTGTGATACCAAATTTCAAATCCAAGAAAAATGAAGTAAACAGTAACTACACAAAATGGTGGTTTCCTAACATTTTTTAGGCCTTCTAGCTTACATGTTTAAAGTCATCTTACCCAGCATGTCAATGTATAAAATAAATAACAGCAATGAACAAGTTCTTCAATTATTTTAAACACTAATTGTTTGGTTAAAAAAAAAAAACACCTTTATAACCCTTACATCCATTTAGCATTTTATAGAATGCTAATCAAAAAAAGTAATGTTTTCCTAATTACAGGTTATAAGCCAGACATGAAATCAATTTAGTGGTTTCAACTACCATTTTAGAAGATAAAATATTAGAAAGCATTGAGCACAGTAAAAGTTAACATTATTTTGTGAAACTTTTGTTTCAATAATATTTTTCATATATTTGTATATTCATATACACACATCCAGGGATCTGCATCATATACTAGATCATGATATAAAAAATATTTCTTATTGTAACAGCTGCAATTCTAAAAAGCTTAAAATATATTAGAAGACCAGACTATACAATCTACTTCTTATATAGCATTAATATAATAATATGAACAGAACAAAGTCACGCCCTTCGTGCATAATAAATTGGTCATTTATAACACAGATGGCAGAAACATCAAAAAATGCAATTCATAAAGTATTAGGTTAGGAGGAACAATTTTACCACTGGTTTAAAATTATTAAAAATGTTATTGCTATATCAAAAAATACTTGAGCAAATTATCTACATGTGTGTGCTTTTTCTTTTATTCTGAAAGTAGCAGAAAAGCAAACAATAAGGAATGTTATTGTTGCATATGTAACAAAATTTCCTAAAATGCATACAGGTGTACATTTGGTAAATGATGTACAATGGTAAAGTATGACTTCATGGTGAGAGATGTTTCTCAGAAAATAAAGTTCCTTTTCTACAGAAGTTTCATTTACTTTTTTTCCTCAATTAAAATATCTTAAGTTAAAAAGATATACCTATAGTATAACTAAAATACCTTTAGTTTTAAAAAATCCATGGCTCAAAAAACATATTTCTCAAGTCACACCTCTAACATATAAATGATTCTAGCTCATCAACAAGATAAATTCAGCGAAGAGAAAGGACATATCTTCTTATACTCTTTGTTGTACCAATTGCATTTTGCATAGGAATAGATTTTAACAAACTGAACTGAAAAATTTATCTGTTTCAATTCTTTCTCCAAAATATAATGCAAAAGTTCGGCTGGTTTTAAAACTGCTCAGTCTATCTGGTAGGGGTATATATCATAACTGCCACCAGAACAACTGGGCAAACGAAAAGAGTTCTGCTTAATAAGTGAAAGTTGCTATTTATGTTGCTTAAAAACAAATGATGTATCAAAGGAAGGAAAATTGGGGATATTAAGGGTGCTAGCTAAAACATTTCCAAATTTGCTATTACAATCTATTTAAAAGAGAGAGGAAAAAAAAACCCTCCAACTTTCAAGAGAAACCTGCCTGAAAATTTTCACATGGAAACAAAATAAAGTAGAGCAAAAGGTTGTAGAAACAAAGTTCAGCAAGTATCAGTTTTTATCAGAATGCACCTATTACTCAAACCCCAGGACACTGAAAATCAATGAATGTACAGAACTCTATCACCACACATTTCTGGATTACACACCATGATGTCTCTCCTCTTCGGTGTACTGGTTCTGCTCCAAAGTGTCCCAGTAATATCCTTTGATGGGTTCTTTAGTAATATTAGACAGTATAGCAGTAAATGACAAAAAATAAAATATAAGGATATTTTAAAAACTAAATTCATTGAAATTATATCAAGGCTATTAACATATAAATAGAAACTAAAAGTAAAAATCTTTACCCACGAGAAATGGCAATTATTCCTCCCAGTGTAATTCAAGATCATATCATTCTCTAATTTTGGATCTCTACCTTATTGCCCTCTAGTATTTCAATACACAAACCAATAACCAAGCATTTCTACCCCATCTTCAATACTGGAACTGAATTCAAGGATATATGAACACTTAACTATATCTCCAGCCCTTTTAATTTTTAATTTGGAAACAAGGTCTAAGTTGTAGAAGCTGGCTTCAAACTTGTGATCCAGCTGCCTCAGCCCCCTGAGTTGCTGAGATTACAGGCATGCACCACTGAGCTGATCATAACCAAGCATTTTTAAGATTAATTTTAAGGCAGCCACTAATATTCCATACTACTAATGATCTCATCATTACACATAACTAATAGATACAGACTGTCTCAATAATAAATTGAAGTTCTGATTTATTCTCCCTCCCCTAACCCTACCATTCACAGTCTTGAACTAATTTTGCTTTTTTTAAAATACTAAATCTACAATATTAACACCAACATTTCCAGCTCAAATAGCTTCTGGCAAGTCACCTTTCAGCTGCATTTATGATTTTATCCTTTTGTTCAGTTATCTTCAAGGTAACTGAACAAAAGGATAAAATCATAAATGCAGCTGCCTCACATCCAGATCCTATTAAGGTTCTCACACCAAATATGAGGTTCAAAAAAGTATTAGACCTCCTAATACATAGCTTGTAAGTAAAGTTAAAAAAAAAAAAAAAATAAGGGGCAGAGGGCTAGAGTTGTGGCTCAGTGACAGAGTGCTTGCCTCGCACATGCGCAGCACTGGGTTCAATCCTCAGTACCACATAAAAATAAATAAATAAAGATATTGTGTTCATCTACAACTAAAAAAAATATTTTAAAAAATTATATGGTAAAGCAGAAGAAAATTTTGGCCATCATTTATTACATTTATTTACACAGAGGACAAAAGTTGTCTAACATTCAGCTTAGCAGATAGCTATTTTAAAAAGCAAATAACCAGAGACTGAAGGTGTAGCTCAGTGGTAGACTGTATGTTTAACATGTCCAATCCACACCCAGCACCCTGTCCCCCCAAAAAGCAAACAATCTTATGAAAACTTAGAACTCCCAGTATTATCTAGTTAAAACAGGAAAAAACTCAATTGTATTTCTTTTAAACAATGTAATGAGTGAGCATTCTGACTTATTTCTGGGAATGTCCACATATCTCCAATGTGTTTAATGTATACAGTTAGAGATAACAGAGTACCATAGTCTCCTCTAGGGTGTAAAACTTCTATTACTCTTCAAGTTCACACATTGATTTTTTTTTTTAAATATCGAGAACTTTATCCCATAGTAACAGATTTTCATTAATTATTATGGTGGGGGAAAAAACTGACCTGGAACAATGGCACACCTATAATCCTAGCAATTCTGTAGGTTGAGGCAGGCACAAGTTTGAGGCCAGCCTTAACAATTTAGCAAGAACCTCAGTAACTCATTAAGACCCTGTCTCAAAATTAAAAATAATAAGGGCTGTGGGTGTCACTCAGTGGTAAAGCACTTCAGGGTTTAATCCTTAGTACCACAAAAACTGGTAAGTTAAAATTATCCTTACATTTGTTTACTAATACAATTTACACACACACACAAAATCAACTTCATTAGTCTACAGACACTCTAGGTAAATACCACCCTAGAAGCTTAATGGTAGATTTCTTTTCTGTTTATTTGTTATTTGTTTATTTAAGTCAAACTTGGTAGATTTTTGCCACTTAAGTTAAATTAACATAATCAAGTTTCCCTAATGTCATACAAATTTACAAAGAAAAAGCCTGATACCAAATATGTGAAAATTCACACTATAAACATAATAGAAAACAAAGTAAAAAGTCATACATTAAAAACAAGGAGTGGGGGCTTAGGTTGCGGCTTAGCGGTAGAGCACTCATCTAGTATGCGTGAGGCACTGGGTTCCATCCTCAGCACCACACAAAAAGAAAATAAAGGTGTTGTGTCCATATACAACTAAAAATACCTCCATTTTAAAAAGGGGGGGATTATTTTCATAGCCCCTGACATTCAACTTTGAAGTGTTTGTTAATTCACTACATGATTCTTTTCAAAGTATTTTTTAAAAAGTGTCTCCAGAGGAAAGCATTAAGAAAGCATTTTCTTTCTGAAAAACAATCCACGTTTTTTTTTGGACTAGGGATTGAACCCAGTGCCACTCTACCACTGAGCCACATTCCCAGCCCTATTTTGTATTTTATTTAGAGACAGGACCTAATTGAGTTGCTTAGCACCTCACTAAGTTGCTATGGCTGGCTTCGAACTTGAGATTCTCCTTCCTTAGCCTCAGGAGCCGCTGGGATTACAGGCATGCACCACCACACCTGGCCTTGAAAAACCACTTTAAGCCACTGATTATCTTGGACTTTTTTTGAAGATTTGTTAATATTCTTAAAATTCTAAAAAATCTGTAACTAACCAAAATATTCATGATTCAAAAATTAGCCTATGCACTTAATCTAAAAAAAAAAAAGATTACATTCATAAACAAAAACAAAGACAACCAGCATAATAAACTATTTATGAATACAAAGATGTCAACAACTAACATGTCAGAACACACTTATCATTATTACACATTATAAAAAATAGGAAGAAAAATTAAGAGTTGGGGGAAAGTAATGAGAAAAATCATTTTACTAATGAAAAATCTATATGTAAAAAAATATAAAATGTATATATGGCATTATCACTGTAAAAATTAAAAGCATTGCTTTACTATAAAGCATAATTCCCTAAGAAAAGAGAGATGAGTGTTTAAGCACAATATGCAAGTATTTAAGGAGCAAATTCTCATTTCTTTTGATTTTTAATAACTTATGCTAAAACACCAGAACATTCTATAAACTATTAATCAAAATGTCAAAGCATAATTCCTATACATATGAAAAGCAAAGAATTTTTTAAATCAACAGCTCAAATTTTCCATGTAATAAAATTGTAATTAGCCACCCAAGCCTCAAAGCTACTTCCCATTTAATAAACTGTCACTTTTTAAAATATGAAAGTAGGCACATGCCTGAAATCTCGAAGTTGGGGAGGCTGAGGCAGGAGGATTATGAGTTCAAAGCCAGCCTCAGCAAAAAGTGAGGGTCTAAGCAACTCTGAGACCCTGTCTCTAAATAAAATGTAAATTAGGGCTGGGATATGGCTCAGTGGTCGAGTGCCCCTGGATTCAACCCCCAATACAGAAAAAAAAAAAAGAAAATATGAAAGCAGGAGAAATCTAAAAGTCAGACCCAAGCAGATATTATTCTATAAAATCAATTTTATTATTTTGTGATAATTTTCTGAAATCAAAGGGCCTTCTATAGAAAAATAGAATAGATTTGTTAATAGATGAAAATATTCAAGATTTTAAAAATGATTTACTTATAGCAATAATTTGAGAGAAAGCATCTTTTTTTTCCAGTGAAATAACTTTGACAATATTTCCACTTTAAAAAAAAAGGAAAAAGAATATATGAACACTATCTGATTGTTTATATAATCACTGATTCTGAAGCAAGCTCACATATAAAAGCTTTGCTACTATGGTATGTAAACAACTTAAAATACCAACCCTGTGACTTCCAGGACTTCGGAAGGACAATGTATCCTCAACTCCCTGATAAAAATAAAAATAAACAGTACAAATCTGTGAGTGACTACATTAAATTAATGAAGAAAAGCATTAGGGGCAAGTTTTTATGTTATTACAAACCAGATAAGAACGGTGATGACTGGACCGGTGCGAATACCTGGCCCTTTCGGAATCTTCCTGGGAAAGGAGAAAGTACATGGAATGTTATTCACTGAACAGACAGGTGTTTTATCAGAAAAATGGAGCAAAAATCAGTAAATTAACAGTACAACATCTTAGCGCAGGCAGGTTTGGACAACTTCACTTTAAAAGCTGAGTTTGTGGCAATTGCATGCTTTGGTTAGAAAGCAGAAATAATGTTGGCAATTTTTATCATACGTATGTACAACTAACCACATGTAAGATACTATCTACATCTGACCAAAAGAGCTCAATACACCAAGATAAATATACACAGTTATACTTAACAAACAGATGTTGAGCTCAGCATTAAAAATAGATGTTTAGCCAGGTGTGATGGCACACACCTATTGTCCCAGTGATTAAGGAGGCTAAGACAGAAGTACCACAAGTTTGAAGACAGCCTTGGGAACTTAGTAAGACTCTATCCCAAATATAAAAATGGGCTGGGGCTATAGCTCAGTGGTAGAGGCTTCAAACTCTAGTACCAAAAAATAAAAACAAACAAAAACAAAGTAAAAGAAAAAAAAACTACTTATGCTTAGGAAAAAATCACATATTTTAAAGTTGATTAAATTATCTCAAGAGTCATACTTGATGTGGTTTATAAAGATTGACTATAGCTTAACATTAGTTGACTAAAGCATACATAATTCTAAATTTTCCCTATTCTGTTATTAGCAATGGAGCACTAAAGCCTGACACATGTGAAATCAAATGGCTAGCCCTAAGAATATTGTCACCTAAAACCAAAAGGAATTTCTGATATTTCATAATTTCAAAGTCAAAGTATTAAAGTAATTTACACTAAAAGTCTACACAAAATGTCTTAAGTAGATTCACTTCTGTCAATATTCACAATATCTTTTCCAAAAACAATCAATGCCACAACACCTCATGGCAATCCAGCATGATCATTTCATAAGTAGAACAAATACATGGGGGTATATATGACTGTTCATTTCAAAATAGAAACAGTAATTCAACCAAAACATAACAGTATATTATCTCTTTTTGGTCATGATCTTTGAGTATAATTCCAAAAATATCCTGGTTGACATCTGCTATGTACATTGCCAAATTGATCAAATTTGCTCTGACATGTATTCATAAGCACCATTATGATTCAATGTTTCAATTTCCAATCCAGTGTTCTGATCTTTAGATTCACATTTTCTGCTATACAACAGACACATACAGGAATCAAGCATATTTCTTCATTTTCTTTATCTAGTTACACCACAAAAGTTTTGGGAGTATATGCATTAGCCTGGCAGGGTATACAGCTTAAACAATAACCAATGCCAGTCTGGTTAACTTGGTTAGTTTAACCAACCAGGAGGCAAATTTATTCTACATGCACCTCTCAGCGAAATTAATTCTACATGCACCTCTCAATGTTATTTTGGGTATTAGAGTAATGTTTAAGGTTTAATGTTCAAGCTTCACTTTACATTAGCCTTTCTTCTCACTGTACCAACCACATAGGAGTATTTGTTTTAAAAAAAATCTAAAAAGCATATTCTATCAAAGATGCAGCAAAGACAGTTGAATTCATATTTATTTTCAATTCTTATTATAATTCTAAATTAATTTAAATACCTTATGAAGTTCAGATATACCTCTAATTTAAACAGTTTTGGGGCTGGTGGTGTGGCTCAGCAATAGAATACTTGCCTAGCAAGCAAGCACCAGGCCCCAGATCCAATCTCAGCACCATACACAAAAAAAATGAACAGCTTTTCATTTAGCTCCATTTGAAAGCCTTGCTTAAAGAGACATCAGAAGACTGAAAAGAAAACATAACTCCCATATAGGCCAGGCAATTTGAAGAGAGAATACAGTTTATTCCCATAATCATAAACTATACCTAAAATAAGCACTATCCAACAGACCTTTCTGAGAGAATGAAAGTGTTCTTTATTTGTGCTCTCATTACATGATAGCTAGTAGCCACATGTGTCTACTGAGCACTTGAAACTAAATTGTAAGTTGTATTTATTTTTGGTCAATTTAAATTGAAATTTAACACCTACACATGACTAGTGGCTACCACACTGAACAGAAGAACTTCTCTAAACCTAACTAAAAAATAAATGTTCAGGTAAAATAGTAAGGCAAGCTCAAAGAAACTTTTATTATACCAAAAACATTCAAAACATATGTTCTACCCAGAGTCTACCAAGAATCTACCAAGAGTCTGCCAAGTATCACCTCTCTTATATTAGGCAAAGAAAGCACGCAGGAAAATTTTAATTACTCCTCATACTTTGAAAACTTTTGCATAGTAGCAAACAGAAGGAAACCCTTGTATAAAAGACTCTAGTAACAACTCTACAATTATTTTTAAGAGTTCAAAGGGTCCTTAGAGACCACCTAGTCTGATCTCTTCATTTTACAGGAAGGAAAGTTATACCACAGAAAGATTAAGTAAGAGGGCTGGAGCTGTGGCTCAGCAGAAGCACACTTGCCTGGCGTGTGTGAGGCATTGGGTTTGATTCTCAGTACTGCATATAAATAAATAAAATAAAGATCTATCAACAACTAAAAAGAAATATATTTTAAAAACAAAAAGAAAGATTAAATAAGTATCTGCAAAGTCATAAACCTGGGACAGGCATACAGATCCTCAGGCTCACCAGACCATTGAATCTTAAAGATACCATCCTACACTAGCTAATTCTTCATTAATTACAAGGAGCCAGGTGGTGGTAAGGTATTCTGGTTTTTACTCAAAACTCCTCCTTCTCTGGAAGAACAAAAAGCTTCATCTCCCAGGTATTACTAGAGTAGGATTTAACTGCCAATGGCTTTTCTTGAATTAACAGCACCACTGGCCAAATATAAATTACAGTAAACCATGTTTTTAGGAACGAACTACAAGGCAGAGTATCCCTTTTTTGCATAGTCAAGGAAAGCAACACACATTGTCATTACTCCAGGAATCCTCCTTATGATTAAAGAAACCTGAGTTAATAGAATGATGTTGTAAAAGATGGATGTATATTTGTTCCAAACGATCTGGTAAATAATGTTTTAATAAATTTAAATTCAACTTATAAAAATAAAACATAACTATGTTTTGGAAAAGTTCACTTGAAGTGGGTATGAAATGGTTTCATTAAAAGAAAACCACAAACCAGGGCATGGTGGCACACAACTATAATCCCAGTGGCTTGGGAGGCTCAGGAAGGAGGATCACAAGTTCAAAGCCAGCCTCGGCAAAAGCAAGGTGCTAAGCAACTCAGTGAGACCCTGTCTCTAAATAAAATACAAAATAGGGCTGGGGATGTGGCTCAGCGGTTGAGTGCCCCTGAGTTCAATCCCTTGTACCCTCCCCCCCCAAAAAAAAAGAAAGAAAACCACGGCCCCCGTGAATTTGACTATCTTCTCTATCAACAAATTAAATTTTCTAAGTTCAGGCTAGAGTCACTCCTTCAGTTTCAAATTGGAAAACATTAGAAACTGCATCTACTCCTCCAGACATACACCAACATGTTACTGATTAAAGACAACAGATTTAAAATCAGAATGATTAGGTTCATTGAAAGTTGGCTAAACTAAGATTATCTGGAAGCCCAGGAAAATGTAGGCTCTACCTGGTTGTGTTACTTTGCAAACTATTGGCAAAAAAAACACTCTCTACCTTGAAAATTCCAACTCTGCCAAGAACAATACAGCAAGTTATCTACTTTAACAATCCTTTATCTTCTCATCTATAAAATGGAAATAGTGTTACCTGTCTTAAAATGTGAAATGGAACCTAGGTAAAAAGCACTAATACAGCACACTGATTGATGCACAGGCGTTTCTCAAGTTAGCTTCACTGCTGAGTCCCTGAGCCCCATGTCCTTTTGTTCCCTAATTCATGTTCCAACAAATCAGTCTCACACAAAAAAGTATTAAAGTTAGGGGAGATTTTCATGGTCCTTGAATAAACAAATCAAATATTAGATTTCTAATATATGCTTTTCTATTTTTGTTTATTTTTTTATTTTTTGGTTTGCTCTATAACATTAAAAGCTTTGGCCATTTAACTTTAGAATGATAATACACAATTTAAACAATAAAGCTAATTTTCCTGGGAAAATTTGCAATTAAGTGATTTGTTTTATTTACATGAAGCATTTTTAATGCATCAACAATAATACTAACCCACAGAAGGCACATTAAATAAATAAATTAATTAGGCTAGCTTTAGTTACAATCAGGAACAAACTCCACTCCAAAATAACAAACACACCCATAAGGAATCATGCAATTTAAAGTTACCAAGCATCTTTTTTCTTTCTTTTATAAAACAATATCTCAATGAGAATTATGATAAAGGTTTAAGTTCAAGGGTCATTACATTATAAATATTTTAATTCTGGTTATACCTTAAAATGCTGCTATAGGAGAAATTTGCTTATGGAAGCTGCTTGTTTATCAGCAATCAGACAATGGTTTTTAACCCTGCAGGAGTCATAGACTTTCTCTTATGAGAAAACACCTGTGAGCACTTCCCATAAAAATACATATACTTCTGGTCTTGGGGTATTCAGTGGAAAGAGTACTTGCCTAGCACACACTCAAAGCCCCTGAGTTCAATCCCCATCACTGTCAAAAAAAAAAAAAAAAAAACTATACGTACTTTCAATGTCTACACATACTTCCAAAAGTCTGCATGAGATTTTAAGGTTTTATATTCTACCTCCCAAGTTCAGTCACATACCAAGTTCAGACCCCTTACAAAAAGAGACAGAGAACTAAAAAACTTTGAAAAACATTCAAATTTAGGAGTGATTCACAATAACTTTTACTGATATACGAATTGCTTTTAGAGCTAACAAACCTGGAAGCTGTGGTAAAGGACTTGGAAAGGAACTGAGAGAGCTGAGCTAAAAAGAATCGTTTTCAGGGAACATGGAAGAATGACTTATGTCATCTCTTCACGGAGACCCAAGGGACTCAGTTTTCTTAAAGAGGATGGGGGAAAGGAAGGATATGAAGAAGAAAAGGACAAACCCATAAGAAGAAAACAAGCATTCATTTTCTCAATCTTTCTTTTTCAGGGGCACTCATGAAACGAAAGTGAAGTTGCTGATCACAACAGAAAATGGTTGGATTCCAAGTACACATTTGGTCCACTTCAGCCAGAACAGATATTTCATGACCTTTAGGTTCACACAGGCCAAACACTTCTACTTTGCAAACCATTAGTCAATGTTTTACTTCAAAACTGCATTATGTCAGCAACTTATCACAACATGCAGGACAAGGCAATTCTAGCCTACCAGCCACTTGTGAATCTGTCCCCATTTCTTGTCAAAGGAATGATGAGAGTGCTACAAATGCAAAAGTTTCATAACTGAACAGTTTCCAAAACACTGTATTCTCCAAAAAAATTCTTATTCATACATATTTGCCCTAAAGAACATGATAGGTGACTAAAAATTACACATTCACCTATACAAAACTACGAAGCTAAATATGTTCAATAATAGAAAGATGCATGGTTCTCTGAAGTTTAGAAGATCATAAATTGAACTTATTGTAATAACTGTCTCTTGTTTATATTTTAGTAAAATCCTGTGAATATAAAAGACAATACATTGTAACATTTCCATTTTCAGTCAAAATTTCTATTTGATATTTGAAACTTTATGAGGTTAAAAAAATTAGCAACATCAACTATTTTTGTTTTTGAACTATGATAAAACATAGAATACATAAATTTCTTTTTAACTCACTAGCAGAAAATCCACCACTAACATGAAACAAAAGTGCTTAATATTTCCCCACAGGTGTTTCCCCCTTATACTAATACAATATCAAAAATATTTTTATGGGGATTTTTAGGGCCAAGTCAATGTCAGAAGGAAAGCATAAAAAGTCTTTCATTTTAGTCAGTTCAATTTCCATAAGCCTTTTTCTGCTTTTCTGATAATAGCGTACCAAAAATTTGTAAGCTAGGAAAAAAAAGTATGTAAAATCAATCATAACTCCAACACAATCAAACCAAAGTGTTGACAGCAATCAATATTCTTTCTAGAAGGTTGACCCTATAGATGGGTACTAATTTTTGTAACACAAAATTGGGTCCTATCAGTTTTACAGTTTCACTTGTTTTTCTTTTTCTTTTCATTTTTTTACATGAATATTTTTAATGATTATTAAATATGTCTCAAAATTATAAGACTGATCTGTCACTGTTTTACTATACAGATATCACAATTAATCCAAATACTAGGACATTTAGGGGTATACTAAATAGTTTTGTCATCTCCACACCTACTTTAGTGAACATAAGTAAAGCACTTATTATAAGAACTTCTAACAATGCATACACAAAAAACAAAATCATTTATTATTTAAAACAAATATTACATTTCATTGATTAACACAGAATGGCTTATTAAAACACATATAGCAAGTTAGACTATTCCCAGTGTTTCAAAAGGAATCAGAATTAAATGGGCCAAGTATTGATTTTTTTTTTTTTTGGGGGGGGAAAGCATGAAATTATGGTTCTATTTCCCCAAATTACCTCTTTTTGTTGTCGTTCCAGTTCTCTCATGCGTATATCTCTTGCTTCTGCCCGGGCAGCGCGTTTTGCTGCTAGCCTTGCCTCTGCCTGAAAAGTAACATAAAACTCAGCTTTACAAAACAAAAACAACTTGTATACCACATTTGAGGATACGAAGCAAAAGGAACATGACTTTCTAAAGGAGGGTTGGAAGATGTCAGCAAGTTTGACTGGCCTCTTCAGTCAACTTCTATACATCTGTTTCTCTCTCTAGTTCCAAAGTCTCTCCTCACAGCTAGATTATTATCTTTAATGGCCTACCTTGCTTACACATTTAACATATTTCAAACAGTTCACTACATATGTCTCCAAAATGATCTTTTTCTAGCATTTCTTTCCCCATCAATTCAATCACACAAAACTAGAAATTTCAAAACCAGTTACTATTTCATTTTGAATATTGACAATATTCGGTCTCTAAATGACACCAATTCTCCATCACTGAACATCTCTCAAACCATACTTTTTTCAGGAACTCTACATACATTCTATATAGTCTCTTTTTCCAGCCTTGCCTTTTCTTAAATTGGGATATACTTTGCATGTTATCAAATTCGCCATTTAAACAAGCATACCAGCACCTCTTTGTAATTCCAGCTGTTCAAGAGGGTAAGCAGGAGGACAACAAGTTCAAGAGCAGGATCCTATCTCAGAAGAAAATAAAAAGGGTTGGGAGACTAGGATGTAGCTTAGTGGTAGAGCACTTGCCTAGCATGTGCAAGACCCTGGGTTCAGACCCCAGTACAACCAAAAATTTTTTAAAAATCACTATTTAAAAGTATACATTCAGTGGTTTTTAATATAATATTGTATAAGGATATACAATAATCACTACTGTGATAGGATATTGTCATCACCCCAAAAAGAAACCCTTTATTTATTAGTAGCCACTCCCTATCACACCTTACCTCCAGTTCCTGGCAACCACCAAACTACTTTCCAATTTATCTACCTTCTAAATTTGCCTATGCACATCTCATGTAAATGGAAGCATACACCAGGAACACATCTCTTGCTTGGATTTACTCCAACTGCCTCCAAAATCATCTTCTTACCTCCAGAATCTGCCCTCTAATTCATACTAACATACTTCTGTTTATGTCACTCAGCCATGTAAAATACCTCCCTTGCTCGCCACTATTAATAAAAAACTATTAAAGCAAAAACTCCAAGAAACAATGCAAAAAGAAGATAAAAGAGGCAAATACAGAAATAAGACTACTCATAGTAAGGTCCCCACGCTATTTCCCAGAACTTGTTATATATGGACCAGGTGCATCCCCTCTCTCTCTCTCTGCCTGGACTCTACAACTGTGTTTGGCTAAGCCTCTCAGACTATCTGCTTGGCAGGAAGTACTCTCCCTTCTCTGATTTAGCTAAAATATTATCTTCTATGAAGATTTCCCCGCATTCCCTCTTTCATAGAGCAATATAATATACCCATGCCTCTGTTGAGCTTTATTAATTGTAAGCTTCCAGCATCCCACAACTTCATGCTTTAATGTCTGCTAAATAAACAAATAAATTTCAGGCCATAGGCCAGAGTCACAGTTAGGAAATGAGATAAGGAAATAACTTGATGCATCCCATGAAACCTTAAAATCTGCTCTCTGGTTTCTATCTTACGGGTTTCCTCTGTCCTTGGCCACATCCTAACTCTGATTTAGATTATTACTTTTGATAACTACAGTAGTTGCTTCTTCCCATTTTATTATATTTGTGCAAGTATCATAATAAAAGACTCAAACAATGTTTAAAAGGATCTACTATATGTAAGCAATTATGTGAGATGATTAAAATACACAGTAGGATATGACATTTCTGCCCTAAAGCAGCTCACAATCAAAGTTAAGGGAGATAAGCACAAGGATTAGGGGGAACAAAGCAGGCTGGAGGGAGAAATTCATTTTACCCAGCAAGGTCACAGAAGGCTTTAAGGAGAGAAGATAGTTTAATAGTTAACTTCTATTTAACTCTCTCAATTTTGTCAATTTCCCATTCTGCTTAACTGGCCTTTAAATAGCAAAAATCATGCAAAATAAATTATAATTTACATACCCTTTATGTGATAACCACTAACATATCCATAACAATTAGTATTCTCACATAAATTTTACATTGATTTCTATCTTTTAAAAATCTTATATTCTGGGGCTGGGGTTATGACTCAGTGGTAGAGCACTTGCCTTGCACATGGGAGGCACTGGGTTTGATCCTCAGAACCACATAAAGATACACAAAGAAAATAAAGATGTTGTGTCCATGTAAAACTAAAAAATATTTTTTAAAAATCTTATATTCTGCTTCAAGACGTCTTCTTTACCCCTCTGGACTATGAGTAGACAACATTCTTCCTAGCCTTTGTATTTTATAGAAAAAGACTTAGAGGCTAAGTTATACATCAATACATAGCAAAATTAAAATATATATATATATATATATATATATATATATATATATATATATATATATATATATATATATATTTTAAACTACACAGTAGCAAAACTTGCAAATCCTTTCTAACATAGAACCATGGCAATAAGCAGGAATTTTCATTGCCATGTGTATTAGCTTTGTACCTCTTTTAGAAATTCAACTTGAAAATGCCTATTCTACCTTCTAGGATCTGTCTGTGGCCAATTCTGCACAATTATACTAAAATGAGACTTCCTAACAAAACATAAGTTATAGATCAACAGAATCTATTCTTTAATAAGACTTCTTTCACAACAAAAGAGAACAATAAATAAATAAATCTAAAACCCTTGGGCTCCAAAGACAAACTTTCTTTCCTTGGTTAGTTAGCCAACTTTATCTAAAACTCAGGAATTATCTCCTTTGGAGATGGTATTGAAGAAAGACCACTAAGCTACACACTTTAAAAGAAGTAAACAGAATTTAATACTCCCTTATCTGTTTCTTTCTATACATTGTTACCACATAGTAAGCACAGCAAGGAGTAAAGGTTGATTGCTACCTTCTAGAGACAAAAACTAAAAAATATTTTTTAAAAATCTTATATTCTGCTTCAAGACGTCTACTTTATAATTGACACATTTTTAAGTAGACTATTTTGAGTACATAAATTATACTTCTAGGAAGTACTACTAACATTTTTACCTCAGAATAAAGTGGCATAAAAGAACTGCTTTAGATTCATTTACCATGTACCTCACACACATAAAACAAACGGAACAAAGTTAAAAAACCAAACACACAATGACCATTTGAGCCAATATTCCACTTGTGGATATACATACAAAAAAATTAAAAGCAAAGACTCAAGATAATTTAAACAACAAGGTTCATAGCAGCATTATTCACAATAGTCAAAAGGTAGAAACAATCTAAATGTTCATCAATGGATAAATAGATAAAATTGTGATTTATACATACAATGGATTATTATTTGGCCTTTAAAAGAAAGTTTTAATACATGCTAACATGTATGAATCTTAAAAACATGATAAATGACTTAAGCCAGACACAAGAGAACAACTAATGTATAACTCCACTTTATTGAGGTACCTAAAGTAATCAAATTTATAGAGACCAAAAGTGGGATGGTAGTTGCCAAAGACTGAAGGGAAAAGGGAACGGGGAATTTTTTAATTACTGGGTACAGAATTTCAGTAGTGAAGAATGCTTTGGAAAACAATTTAGCACTTCCTCAGAAAGTTAAACAGAGTTGTCATATGACTCCCATATCCACCTCCAGACATGTACTTATGAGAAATGAGAATATATATACACATAAAATGTTCATAGCAGCCTTAGTCACAAAAGTCAAAAAGCAGAAATAATCCTAACTTCCATCAATTAATGATTGGATAAATAAAATGTGAGATATCAAAAAATGGAATATTATTCAGCCATAAAAAGGAATAAAACATTGACACAGGCTACAACATGGATAAATCTTGACAACATGTTGCTGAGTGAAAAAAGTCAGACATAAAAGGCCACATGTTATATAATTCTACTTATATGAAATGTCCAGAATTGGCATACATTCAGACAGAAAGTATATTACTGGTTGCCAGGGGGGAAAGGAGGAGAAAGGAAGTGACTTCTAACTAAGAAGAGAGTTCTTTTGGGGCTCAGGAAACATTACAATTAGATAAAGTGATGATTGCATATCTTTATGAATACACTAAAAAGCATGGAATATTCTAAAATAGTGAAATTGTTAGTATCTGAATTATATCTCAATTTAAACTTTCTTAAATAGATGAGACTGAGTATATAAAATAAATACTGAAATATATAAAACTCCAATACATAAAATTAACTATGTAAAGAGGAGAAAGGAGATCTTAGGATAACAAGTTTGGAAAATGCTAAGTTAAGGGGGTTTTTTGGTTTTTGTTTTTAACTAGAGTCCTTAATAATATACATTATGAATCCCAAAGAAGATTGTAGAATATATAGCATTTCTGAGACTGTACCACATTATTAAATCAACTCTAAATAATCTCCAAGCATCATGCTCCAGGAACACAGTCTGAGACATAGTGATTAAGCTTATGGCAATATATCAGGATCAAATTCCAACTGTACTAAAATCTGTTAAGGGATACATCTGCCTTCGTTCTTTATAAAATTAACCAATATTATCAGAAAATCTCACAATCAAAACCTCAAATTAAATACAGGTATGAAGACACAAATTGGTGTGAATATACTGTGTATACAATCAGAGATATGAAAAATTATGCTCTATATGTGTAATAAGAATTGTAATGTATTCTGCTGTCCCATATAAATTTTAAAAAAGAAGAAAAAACACCTCAAACTTTCTAGATAATAAGGAAGATGAGACCTAACAATATAACTACCATTTTCAAGCACTTATTTATTAGCAAGGCTAGATGCTTATTTTCTTTTAATACACAAAATAATCTTTGTTGTTGTTCTTTTGTTTGTTTTTTGGATTTTTTTCCCCTGGGGACTGAACTCAAGTCCTGGTGTCTGATAGGCAAATGCTCTAGTACTGAGCTATATCCCCAGCCAAAATAATCCCTTGAGGTACAGCAAGGAAAAGT